GTCGAAAAATATTTGAACAGAGCCATAAACTTTCTTTTTGTATAAATACATTGATAATAGCCTGTGTTTAACAACTTATACATCTTTACATGTATTAACAATGATATGTTATTAACAAGTTAATCATATTATTATCAACATTGAAAAGTAGTTTAAACAATCCGTGGCGAGTTCCGGCACTTCGCTGGCAAGCTCTACCCCCACTCTCTATGCCCAAGCCTGCAGCTTATAATTTTTGAGCATATATAAATGTTTTGTAATCATAATAGCTCGGTGGTTAACGCATCGGTCTTTCATTTTGATGGGCAGGGTTCGATTCCAGTCATGGTAAAGTTTTTTTTTTCTTTTTCATTTGTTAGATTTGCATGTAATTATAATATTAACATGCTAAAATGAATTCTTACCAACGATTTGATTTTTTTTTCTCAATTATTTATGTAATTTATCAACGTCGAGTCGGAAAACATATGAACAGGGTTATAAACACTTTTTTACTATAGCTATATGAACGTAGCTTTTTTTTAAGCAATTTAGAAATATTTAGAAGTAGTTGAAATAATCCACGGGGATTTCCGGCACTTCGCCGGCAAACTCTATCCCTACCCTTCGTACTCAAGCCTGCATTATACAATTTATAAACATAAACATGATGTCAGAGATAATATGTTAGCTCTGTAGGTAGAACACCAAGCTTTCATTTTACCGATTAGGGTTCGATCCCAGTTATAGCCAATTTTTTTTTTCATTAAAATTTTATATAAATACAATAATTGGTTGTTTGTATAAGTTCAAAATCAATTCATAGTGTCTTTTAAAGACAACATTTTCTAAAAAAGAGAATTCATAGTAACTCGTTCCTCACCCTCAGCTTATTTTCAGAAAAACAAGTTTTTTTTCGTAATTAATTGGAAGAATAATGTAATAAAATATATAAATTGATTTATAAGTATATAAAGTCACTTGAACAAGAAACAGAAAAAAAAATGGTAATTATTTAGAATTGGGGCTCCAGTCAAAAATCGCTCCAAAAAATTTTTCACCACCTGGAAACTATTTTGTTAGGTAGAATTAGATAATTAAAGGTGGGGGAGACATGTTTCATGAGGTTTCATCGAGAAAAACACGATTTTTAGGTGTAGGTATAGCTTAAGTTCGAATAATAAAGTGACGAAGAGGATGGAAGGTGCGTGTTAAAAGGGCATAAATAATTTTGTGATTATTAAAAATATTTATGTTCTCTTAACAACCCGCACCTCCCATCCTTTTCGTCATGCTATTAATAATCAAAAACAAGAATATATATTTTAGAATAAATACAGTTTAGAAAAAATGTCTGAAATAATGGAAATAATATGTCTCCCCCGCCTTAAATTTACTATTTGTACCCTCAGAAACAACCCCAAATGCATAAAAAATTTTTTGGAGCGATTTTTGACTGGAGCCCCAATTCTAAATAATTACCAAAAAAATTGCCTATGACTGGGATCGAACCCTGCCCAGCAAAATAAAAGGTCGGGGCTCTAACCACTGAGCTATTATGGTTTCAATAATAGTGAAGATGCTTGAAAATTATAAGCTACAGGCTTGGGCACAAAAAGTGGGGGTCGAGCTTGCCGGCGAAGTATCGGAACTCGCCGCGGATTGTTTAAACAATTTTTTATTATTAATAAGTTGTTAAAAAAGGCTATTATCAATGTATTTGTACAAAAAAAGGTTAATGGCCCTGTTAAAATATTTTCTCATTTGTCATTGATTAATTGAAAAAAAAATTTTACATAAAAATTGAAATTTAAAACTCATTTTTGGCATGATAAAATTGCAATTACATGCAATTTGAATTAAAAAAAAAAATTTTCAGCAATTGGAATCGAACACCGTTCGGTAAAATAACTGGCGAACCTTCTGACTATAGAGCTAGCATATTTTCATTTGCTTTGTTTACGTTTAGATATCGTAAGCTTCAGGCTTAGTAACAGAGGGTGGGGAATGTGCTTGCTCGTCAACTGTTCGAACTCGCAGTCTTCTCTGAAAAATAAGACGGAGATAGATAGATATATTTTGTGCTCTGTCTTGCTCGGAACAGATTATTCTGAAATTTGTAAATTTCTTGGTACCCTAAGGCTCCCTTTTTGTAGTGCATCCCTGAAAATTATCATTTTTCGAACGATTTCTCTGTTACCTACTCAATTTCAATTGATATCGAGCTTCGGCTTTTCGCCGCACAACGTGAGGGCGTAAAGTCAACTCCGGGAAACTTTCTGACTTCAGCCCAGCCTTAAATATATTTATCATTTCTGAACAGTCAACTTAAAAAATTAGGACTGGTAAATTATCTAGCGTCGGTATAGTAGAAAAAAAATTCAACTAGTGTCATTGTTTTCTGATAGATGACAGTAATTGCACTGTTTTCAATCAAAAATTCAAAATGCTTATACAAAGAAAAGTCTTCTTTCTGGCTCATGTAACGTCATGTAATTACTACTACATAAATAAGGATGTTTAAGCTTATAATCTAATGATAATAACATTTTTATCTTAATGTTAACGTAATAACGTAATCCAAGTGAAAAAAAATTGAAAACTGAATTATTAAAAAGTTGAAAAACTTCAAAAATAATGTCTGTCAGTATTATTCTCTTCTTTAATAAACATAAACAATTTTCGTGCAACGAAAAAAAAGTGTTATTACTTAAGTTTTTATAAAAATAAATCAGTATTTGTAATGAATACCTCAATTTACCTGAATTTAAATATAAATATAATATGAATATAAATTTATTAATAAATTTTAAGATAAATCACTAGTCAATTTAATTATTTTAAAATAAAATAATCAGGGTCAATTAAAGAATTCAAAAATCATTCCTGAAGTTATAAGTCTAACTTTTATTTATATTTAAGAAAATATACATTTGCTGGTATCTCTCTAACTTTGGTTTTCTACACTTCCAAATTATGAGCCACGTTGTCTCAGCTCCCGTCGAATATTCGTGCGTTCAACTACTGCCCACAAATATTCTGACAATGTCATCCTATATATAAATTGATATTATAACAAATTATTTAAATTTACTATAAAATGATTGAATAAATTGACAAATTATATAAGTACCTTCCATTTTTCAAGGACTCTTGTAAATTATTAATGTACAAGTCAATTGTATGTTGAATTGCTCGAGAATAATTTTGTCGTGTAGTCACTTCTTTAGAATAAGAAAAACAAATTAAGTTATTTTTTTTAAAAATACACTTATTATTATGTAACTTATATACACGTATAATATATTTTTATTTGAGTAATTAAAAATACTTAATGGAAAAATTACGTTTTTGTGTTAAAACTAATTGTCGGGTGAACTAAGTTGAGTAATGATAAAAATTTCATAGGATCGGAATTTTATTTCTCTTCAATATATAATTTATTTGTGTGAAAATTTATTTTGTTTTTTAAAAAATATGTCATTAATGAAAAAAGGAATTTGAAATAAAAATTTTATTAAAAAAAAACCTGTTTAAAAAATTTAATTACACGATGGAAGAAACTAACTTTATTAGAAAAGTTAAACTAAGCGTAAATTAATGATACAAATACTATGTTTTACTTTATTTATAATTACGATAATACTAGAAGACTGTCTTACTAATAGTCAATTAAAACACAAACTAACTAAAGAAATAGCAAGTAATTCAGTAACTTAAATGATTGATAAAACAAAAAAAGGAAATATATTGAAGAAAAATTCAATTTAAAAGTAAAGTATTTTTTTATTATTTTGAATTGTGTAATTGATATTGTAAAGAAATTAACTTAATATAACTTGATGTGGTATATCTCTAACGATGGAAAATATCGATATAAGTAATTGGTTTTAAAGAAAATTATCCTCCATTTCAAGAAGATCAATATAATATTTATTTTTGGTAAGTAAAGTTGCTATTAAACAGTTCAAAATTCAAAATCTTAAAAAAAAATAATTATTTATCTTTATATTTTTTACATTACATTCTTCATGTTGAATTAATATTTAATATTAAGAGAATTATTATGAACAATTTGAAGAGCTTTGAGTAAATAAATTGTAGCCATTAATGTTGGTAGTAAATGAGTACATTCTTCCTGTTGGATGATATTATTTTTTATGGAAAATTGTATATATGAGTTATATCTTATTTTATCTATGCTTCATAATGCAGGATATTTTCCATTTATGCATTCTTTGTTAAATTTATCTAATATAGATGATATTTTTGTTCGATTATATAAAAAAAAATGCTCCTTCTTTATTACTGATAACTTTTTTATCAGTTCAGGATTTTCTGCTATAATAACTGGATGACTTGGTTTCTTTCTTGTAATTTCACGTATAATCTTCATTGAAATTACATGGCTATTTTAAATTATCATTTATTATTATCATTAGATTATAAGCCTAAACATCCTTATTTATGTAGTAGGAATTACATGACATTACATGAGCCAGAAAGAAGACTTTTCTTTGTATAAGCATTTTGAATTTTTAATTGAAAACAGTGCAATTACTGTCATCTATCAGAAAACAATGACACTAGTTGAATTTTTTTCTACTATACCGACGCTAGATAATTTACCAGTCCTAATTTATTAAGTTGACTGTTCAGAAATGATAAATATTAAAAAAAGAAAAATTTTTATAATTTGAGTGAATATTAAATGATTGAAAATAAAAAAAACCAATTTTAAAAGATTAAAAGAATAAAGCTTATTTTTAAAATGATCATTAGATAAAAAATCTGGGCATCATAGAATTTGATTGACAATCAGTAAAATTATACATTTAAAGATTTAAATTTTAAAGATTGTAAAAATGCCTTTGACTGACATCTTATTGGGGACGGATGTCACGCTCCCTTAGTATTCTTTGGAGAAGTCTTCTCTCTGCTTCAACTTTAGAAATTGTCTAGCAGTGACATCATACGATTAATAAATTAAACTTGTCTTCAGCTTAACGAGACATCTAGATGAATTAATCTGAACGAAGTTGTGTTGAGCGGCTGCCATATCGTGAACATAAACAGCTGATATTTAGTCTACTACCTAAAAAAGGTTTGAATTTTATTTATATTTAATTATTAGTAGTAATAATGTTTGTTAGATATTATAAATATTATACATCTTTTAGTTTGTTAGCCAGAATTTAGCAAAGATGATGTTACCAGCATGGACCCGGTTTACCGTATTATTTTGGACTGGAATCATCATCTATGCAAAAGACAATGAAGACTCAAACAAATTTTGGAATATAAATGTACCTAATCCTATAATGGGACCTAGTAAAAAACCAAGGGTAAGAATTAATCTTTTAAATTACAAGAAATAATTATGCTTCTCTTTAATTGAGGTTAACTCTAAAAACATTTATCATATGTCACAATGATTTAGATAAAATTTTTATATTGGCAAAAAAAGTTAAATTATCATTTATCAGTATTACTTTGTTATGGAGTCTATGAAATATTTTGATGATTTGATTCTTTAATATAAAAATGAAAAATTTATTTATCCTTTTAAAATAATACACAACTTGGAACAAATAATGGACCACTTCTATAACCACAATATCGGTTCATAATTGCTTATCAATACTTCAATAACAAAATCTTTTTTAGCATTTCGAATTAAAAACGTTTTATCTAGTGTTAATAATAATATTTATTATCGTTAACGAAAAAAAAAATGATTTAAAATTTAATATCTTAATTATAATGTTCTTGCAAAGGATGAATCAATTATAATATTATGAAACTGTTATTTTTTTAGGAACTAGTTGAAAAAGGTCCAAAACGAAAATACACTTATCCGCCAGAAGAATTATAAATAACTAAACAAGTAAACATTGTAATTACAATTAAGTGAATAGAAACAAGTAATTAAAGAGAAATGTATAACTATAATGTGTAAATAATTATAAAATATTGTGGTGAAATAGTAAATAAAAGAAATATTAAAGAACCTTTTAGTATTTTTTATTAACACATTTTTTTTTTAAAAATATTCGTTTTCAGATATTTATGTAATTGTTGTATATGTTATTATTATCATTATGAAATGAATACGATAATTATTTAAATAAATAAATTATTCATTATAATATTAATATTTACTAATTAATTGATATTGATAAAAAGGATTAAGTACAGCGTTAGTAGGAAGAAATAGATGAAAAAATAATTCCAAGTAGACTTTTAGAGTATATTTTTTTTCTTTTTACAAATGTCACTGTAATTGTTTGTTTGTTTGTTTTTTTTTTTACTAGAGCGTGGACAATAACGAGCAGATGACCACAGCATATCTCTTAATGATAGCATGTATAATGTGTGCAATCGTATGTGCAATATTTTTATGTGATTTAAAATGCTTTTAATATATTACACGTGCACGTGTTACTGAAAGCCAAGTTCGCATAATATTGGATGAAACGATTGCCGGGTGACATTTTGCTTGATTATGATTATGAAATTATGTCGTTAATGACAATTTAACTGTATTCTTAAATAATCTACTTATATTTACAAAATTAATCACAAGATTGGGTATTTTGGTCATTATTGGTAGCTAATTTTTCATTGACGAATTTCTGAACTATTAGAGTATTTTTTAGTGTATTGACTGTATTACTCAGTTGATTACATGAATCGCTGTTTTTCTTAATAAGATAAATAAACGATGGAAGAAAAACTTTATTGTTCCAAACAGAAAACTTGAAAGTTATTTCGTTTACTTGAAACAATGGATAAAAAAATAAAAATAATTGTAAAACTATTAATAATAACATTTTAGCTTAATATTCTCTTAATTCTTGTCCAATTATTTATTATTATTTTTTCCATATTGTTTACCGGGAATCCATTTTTAAAGGAATTATTATCTTTATAGGTTTGTTAATCTTGTCATAAAATAAAAATAAATCTTGTGATCAATTTGAATATGAAAGTAGTGGTTAGCCTTGCTCGCTTGCAACAAAATCTTAATCAATATCACACCATTTGAATCAAAACTTATTCAATTGAATTTGCAAATTTTAGGTTATTGTAGTTATTGACTATTAATGGCGACACGGAAAATCTACCATACAAATGCTTGAAGATTTATTTATAAATTGAATTCTAAATAAATAGTTATGAATTATTCTAAATATAAAGATTAAGATTTTGTTGTTGGTTTTTATCTATGAATTGATAGTTAAAAATTAAAATTTGTATTTTAAAAATAAATACAAACTTTAATTCTGCTTAGAATAACAGACAACCAGGAATACATTATTACGAGAAAGAAATAATTCAGGCTTTTTTTGACATGTTTTTTTCCATACATGGAATATTTTTTTTGGTTTTGTTATTTCATCATAATTGATCATTTTTATTCTATCTAATCTTAATTGTAAACTTGTTAATACTTAAAAAAATTCAATCCCCTCCTATTTTATTATGGTCACTCTTCTTATTATTTTCAATAATAAACCTACAATGATATGGAACACGGCACGATGATTTGATGATATTAATAATTATATATAATTATTTTTTGCTCTTTTAATCTTGATATCATCTTACATTCGCTTAATCAGTTAAATTATCTAGTTATTTAAGTTTATTATTCTCCATTCTTTTATACCTTTCTTATTATTATTATTATTATTATTATTATTATTATTATTATTATTATTATTATTATTATTATTATTATTATTATTATTATTATTCCACGCACTCTCGCCACGTTTTTTTTATTTATTAATTTTTTTTTTATCAACTCTACTATACGCGACTGTTCTGTCACTAATTGTAAATTATAAAATTTGTCTTTTTGTTACATAAACAATAACATTCATATTTATTATCATTCAGACTCAAATTAATATTACATTTTTATATTATTATTTCAATGTAATTTAAAAAATTATTTTAGTTTTTAATTGTTATAATTTAATTAAACCTATTCTCTCTTACTTTTTTTTTTCATTGAATTTATCAAAAAATCCACTCAATTCCCTACTTAGTTCGATGTTTCGATACTCGCGAAATTTCCGGCTCTTTTAACAGATCAGAGTACGTAAAAGACTATAGATAGTTTTATTTAGTTATTTTATTTTCTTTTTTCTTTCATTTTTTCATAATTTATTTGTAGTTTATTCTTTTTCGAGTTTTAAGTAGGGATAGCATTGAATTTATGGTAGATTATACAGCAAGATAGCAAGATCAGATATCTCTTTCTCACAGACTACACAATTTCCTATCACACTTGTACTGAAAATTCAAGTTTTCGTTCTGTTTAGAGGCTGAGAAGGGTATTAAAAAAGATAAAAAGTATATTGTGTACGTATGAAATATATTTATTTAATTTTCTACACGGAACAAGAAAAATGTTATTTTCTGACTTGCAAACAGGGCGGAAAATAGTATGTTCCAGACCTAGTGAGTAAAAGTAGACTAGCTCAAATTTCCTGGTAATTAACATGCTCTCCCAAATTTTCTAAATGTCCCTGTCTGAATGCGAATATTGTTTTTTGTTGCATCTGTGTGAAAAATTCTACTCATCTTGAATCATAAGTCAGCTTTTCTTAAAGGTATAATGAAATAGTCTATAATGACTTTTTTAAGTTATTCTCAAGGAAAAAAATTGGGTGTTTAAATACACGTTATAAATAAATATAAGAAAGAAAAAGCAATACTATATGGAGTTAGTCAAGTGTCATTTTTCCAGCCTTCAAGCAGAAAAAGTCAATTTTCCTAAGGGATATGACAAAAAGCTAATTTTTTCTAGTTAAAATAATATATTGAAGAGAAAATGAGAAACGGTAACATAGAAATGTGTATTTATTAAAAGTAATAGTAAATAAAATACTGCATCGCCTTGAAATTTTAAATAAAAAAATTAAATTTTCAAGTGAATTGATTTATCTAAAGCTAAAATACAAATTTTTCATGTAACGCTAAAAAAAAAGCAAAAGCTATTACTTTTTATAAATATTCTACATTTCCTTGATATCTCGATAATTCCGCATTTTTTTCATTGAAATGCAGAAGCGCGTCAACCGTAATATTGTGTAATGTGTGCGTGTTTCATTTATTTAATAATTATTATCAACCCATTTTTTTCTAATGCCAATTAAATCGATCGAATTGATTCTTTAAATATTATTATTATTTATATTATCAATAATTTTATTATCATTGTTATTATTATTATCAATTATTTATCCACTGTCTTTCGCTCTTCTTCGTTTATTTAATACGTAAAATTCAAACATTCTATGAATTAATAATTACATTATTATTATTATTACATTTGTATTTACAGTCAAACCTGTCTAATCGCAATTCGTTTACCTTGTTGATAGCTCTTTGAATTGCTTCATTACTACGTAGATACGCAACCGCATGCGCACAAGACGAAATTATGTATTCATAATAATGAATTGCAATTGAGCAAGTTTGACTGTTTTTATTTCATTACTATTATTTTAAATTAAGTTTACATACGCGTCATACTTGATTCAAGCAATAATATTGTCAACAATTGTGTTCACTTTGTTAAAATTTCTAATTTGTATGCAAATTTTTTGGTCAGCAGTCTGTTGAAGATATTTTTGTTTTATTTATTCTTTTATTATTTAATTTAATCTTTTTAATTTTTTTTAATGATCTATTCAATTGTCATTCTCACAACAAATGAACGCAATAGTCGGCATAACTTTTTCCTCTCATTTGCAAAATATTATTCCATGCTTATTGAATAATGATGACGATGATGATATTAATTAAATTATTAATAATAAAGAAATTTAGTACAGAAAAAACTATTGTTGCCATAGGAAGAATGTTTATTATAATTTTAATGTTCCCTTGTGTAGTTTTTTTCATCTTCATGGCACGGGAGTATATATATATATATATATATATTTATATTTATTTATATATAATATATATGTATGTATTTATATGTATACGTATTTTACATTTTTTTATTTTTCTGTTAGTTTTAATTCAATAGGAATCATTTGGGATACGTGTTATGTGTTTTTAAAGATGAATTATCACAGAATATACGAGATATTTTGTTTATAAAGCTTAGAGAAAATTCACTCAATAATTTAGCAAAGATCTGAAGACAAAAAAATAGCCCGTCCGAATCATGCTCATGAATTTTTTTAGTATTTAAGGATTTAAAAAATTGAGATTGGTAACACTCGATTGTACGATATTCTGCTCTAAAGTGAGATAGATATGCTTGGAAATAAGTCATTTTTTTAGAAAAATTCAATGTTTTATGGATTTCTAACAAATAATCTAGTTAATGTTGATGTAATAAATCATTTGTTTATTCATAAACCACTTTAGAACAAATCTAAGAATCTGTTAAGAAATGAGAATATTTCAGGTAAAAGTATTCAGATTTGATTGGATCATGAAGTCTTATAGTACAGATCTGACTGGGATCTGATGTAGAGTATCTTAAGGTTGGGCTTTACTCACCTTAAATTTTTCTCATCGAACTGTTTATTTTTTATTTGTTTTTTTTTTCACGTAAAAAATATTTAGGAGTATTTAGAAAAGTGGTTTTCACATCGGAAAACGAAGATTGGTAGAATAAGTGTAATAATAATCGTAGAATGAATAATTTTCCAGTGAAGGGCTCACAACAAGTGCATCCGCCATGACACCTCGAAATTCACGGAAAAATTATTTATTCTACGATTTTTATTACACTTATTCTACCAATCTTCGTTTTCCGATGTGAAAACCACTTTTCTAAATACTCCTCAATATTTTTTACGTGAAAAAAAAACAAATAAAAAATGAACAGTTTGATGAGAAAAATTTGAGGTGATTTGAGGTTAGGAAAGCCCGGCCTTAACATGTACACTGACGGAAAGATGATGTTGAAACATGATTTTTTCAAGGTCGATCATTCTTTCAATGTATTTATGACTTAATTCGGTCATTCTCGCGAAAAAAAATTGCACGTATGATCATATATAAAATTTTTTCTGAAATCTGAGGAAAAAAAAAAATAGATTTATGGTTTTAAGAAAAGCAAAAATGATAGCAATTTGACAAAATGGGTATATTTAAATCTAGTCAGATCTAGTTCTATCAGATCAGATCCAAAAATCTCATGAGATCTGAATAAATTTTTCTCAGACTAAGAAAGAGTGAGCGAGATTATGGACTCGTGCGTTCGTATCGAAACATCGCTCTTATTTGTGAAAAATGTCATTCAATATCGCCATATTAATTTTCATCTATCATCTAACTCAGCATTTAAACAAGCATTGGCGAAAATTTTTGACATAATCTAGGCGTTAACTACATTGTAGAAACTTTAAAGATGATCGTATATCTCAATGTTGAAGAAAGTCTTCGATTAGTGTTTTTGTTTTATTAATGTTAATTACAAATGCAAAATGTTTAATTATCTAAAAAATGAGATTTCTTTATGCCTTACATAAACTAATGTATTGTTTAAAATATTTTAGACAATAAATAATAATCTTAAAAAATATTACTCATTTTTTAGATCTTCAAACTCTCCATAATGATTTCAAATCATTACTGATTTATGTTCTTTTTATTTTTCCATTTATTAATTGCTTTTATTCTCATGAATTTTATTTATTTGTTACTTTTTAACAATCTGGATTTATTTTCTTTTTAAACTTTACAATACATTGGGTTTATTATAAACTAACGACACATCAAGAATAACGTCAAGACGTGTCTTTTTGGTCGTGCGCAATGCTAATTCTTATACTCTTTGTTACAAAAATCATTTCAAACATTCCATTATCTACAATCGAGATTCTCTATTTAACGATTGTTTTTTTTCTAGAGAATTCATACTTATATCATTCTTGGGTTGTATTTTATACTTTTTATCATTATTTCCGGAATTTTATTTATCGACAACGTCACTAAAATTGTCGTCAAGTCTTTCGAAGTTATGTTCAATTTAAAATTTATGTCCATCTTTTATATCATCATAAGTCATAATCATTGTGCGATTCTATGGATTCAGTACTGTTTTGTTTTTTGACATTATGATCTTCTTTTATCGTTCAACAGGACTATCTTTCAATAATCGAATTCTTTTCAGTGTCATTAACATACTTTATATAGTCTACCTTCTTTATTTCTCATTGCTTCTCTTTTTTAAGCTCTTTCGAAGCTTAATATCAACCAATTATTGTCCCTTTATTCCTTTTTTTCCATAATATATTTAATTTCTTTTACAGCCCGTTGCTTCAAGTTGGATTTGGTAATGGATTTTCTTGACGAATGTCGCTCTTGAGCTTAACGAATTCCTTCGCAACATCGTCATTATTTCTTTGTGACAAAATTCGTAAAATTGTCCAACCCGTTTCGTCCATTTGAATTCTCTTGCCAAGAGACAACCAGAATGGGCACGAGCCTTCTTCTGCGATGTCCTTTAGCTGAAGCACTGCTACACCAACTAATCTATCTTCCCTTGCGAAACAGTAGTCTTTCACGCACAAATGTAGTTCATAAAAGTCCAATTGTTGTGGTTCGTTGCCAATAATACTGCAGAGTAGAATTATAATGAATATTTCTATTACTTTGGAATAATTTTTAAATCAGCCATTCATCAGTCGCAATATGATGATATTATCTAATAATTATATTTAAAAAATAAAGATTATTCTCGGAGTTCTTAAAGGCTATGGAAATACCTGAACTGTTTCATTGGAATCGTTAGGCTAATTTGGATACTGTTAAGCTAAATATTGCGTCAAGAATCTAATCTAGAGGGTACCGTCACAGAATATCCAAAGACCAAAAATTCGCGACAAAATATCCGCAGCCAACATATTTAATAATAGAATAAATTTATAGATTTGCAACCTTTAAATTTTGAACCAAGTTATAAAAATATTTCATTTCAATTTATAATAGTATATATATACATATATATAGCTTGCATATGTACTGGGGGCTGTGCCCCCAGACCCTTCTGAAGAAAGGGCTTCACCTCTGGGCCCCGGAAAAGAAAGCAATCCTGCAAGAGGGTAATTATCAATTTACAAAAACCGAGTAAGTACCTTCTGAGGCATTGCCCCTGGACCCCGCCCCGTGCAAGTACAAGATATTAATTTAAAACTAATAACATTCATTATTTTTATCGCCGGATATTCTGTCACCAAGATATTTTTTTGCGGATACTTTGTCCACGGACAACAATTCATTCTACCATCTAAAGAAGTGAGGAATTCATTGCGACTGATGAGAGTATGAAAGCATCAAATTAACATACAAGTGGAATGTTTCGTTGAATTTTGGCGCGAAAGTATTACTTTTCGATTTAGTAGCATATTTTCGTTTCCTTTCCGCCAAATGGGGACCAATTAAATTGACTTCCACGAAAGGTCTGAACATTCCGGAAGTTGCATTCCACTTGAGTTCAGCTGCTGCCAGTACTGAAATTTTTTATTAAATATTAGACAAGAAATCAGAAGCATGAACAAATAAAACATATTTTAGGAACAAAGAACGAACCTTTTACAGTTACTTTCTGTTCTCCAGTTCCAGGATGAGTAAATAGATCGACTTGGGTGCATAGTTCACCTACAGAACCACCATCAATACCTACGGTATCTGAAAATCAAAATTAATTTGTTTTTAATCCATTTTCAATTTAATTAGTATGCATACGGCAATTTTTCAACACTTCCAATAGCCTACGGACAAACAAAACTGTCAAACTTCAAAAAAATATAATCATATCCTAATTAATTGTTCTTCTAATTTCCTCTAAATTATCACTGTGACTAAATTTACAATGTATTGTCATCAAATATATAAAACCACACAATAAGGAGATTTTTATATAAATATTCAAATAAAGGAAAGCAGACGGAATGTGCTTTCGCTCTAAAAATGAACGAAAGTTGATACTTTTTCTATTCGTAAGGCTGAAAATTAATTTTTCGTCATGCCTGCGCGGAAAGTTCACTTTTCCATTGGAGAGGGGTTGAACTTTCCACTCAGGTATGACGAAAAATTATATTCAGCCCTAAGGAGGACAATTAGACAAGCTTAAACCACGTGTTTACCCCCCTCGCCTTCGGCTCGGGTTGTAATTTTACACGTGGTTTGAGCTAGTCTACTTTTCCTCCCTAGGTGTGAAATATACTATTTAAAATCATTTAAATAAAAATTGATGTGTTTTTGAATATTTTGTCAGTAAAAAAATCTCCTTAAACAGACAATAAAAATCAAACGAAAGCAAAAATTATTTCAGCATCAATAAGTAATTATTACATCACAAAGTTCACTTTTCTATCCTGTTTGGAATTCTAAAAAACATTACTTTTTTCACTCTGTAGAGAAATGTGATTCTTTGCACACATGCAGACAGTTTTTTACTTCTCTTCACAGTAAAAAAATCATTTCTAATCTTCAAACAGGATAAAAAGTTCAAGTTTTAATACAAATGTGATGAAAAATTGTGACATCATTTGAAAAAAATGTAATTAATTTCAACCCGTGTTATGTATTTATCAAAAAAATAGTTAGTTCTTATAAGATTAAATACGACGGTATTGCCAAATGCTTCAATTTGGTATACTTTATCTCCCTAGGTGTGAAATGTATAAATTATACGCAGGTTGAAATGTTTCATTTTTCTCACGAGGTGTACAATATGTTATTATTTTGTTTTTTAGCAAACAAAATAATAGCAAAATATTTCAAATGTGTAAAAACTCACTCAAGTGTACTTAAAAATATATATTCACTAATTTATGGAAGCTGAGTGAAAATGATCAATAAATGATTGCTTGCGGCGTAGCATATTGTAGAAAATGAATTTCTTTTATCAATAATAGCAATGACAGTAGCAGTAGCTTCACCAGCAGCCTTAAATCCATGACTACCAATCAAGATACTTTCTAATGTACTTCAAGGATAAAACATAATTTCAAGAGACTATTGGTAAATGGTACAGTGACATGATAATAGATATAGGGCATATGGCAATCTAATGGCATGAATTATATTTTTGCCACTAGGATCACGAGTTAATAGAGGAAATTAACATTGAAGAAACCCGATAAGAAAAGTTCTCTTTTTGCCATTAGACGTCGTATAGGAATGAATCATTTACCAATTCAGTTGAGTCTCCATAATATGGATGGCTTCGATCTATGAATTCAAAGAAATGGGAGAAGTTCTTTTCTAGGTATGCACCTCCACTTTATCCAATTAAACACATATAGACTACTCTACAATTAGCTCAGGACGATTTTCAGAGAAAAATATATTCTGTCAAGACCAGGACTCGAACCTGGACCTTCCAGTTACGCGCTGGCTGCTCTACCAGTTAAGCTATCTTGCCAGTCAATATAATTCACTTTAAATCGTGCCTGTATTCGTCATTTGTGGCTCCCCCCTCGATCTACGCCGTTCCTCATACGGCCTAAATAAATTTATTCACTACTTAAGTGTATCCCAGCACAAAGAATTTATTTTTGAAGATGTCCCTAGAACGGAACTCTACCCAAAGAAACTTTCAATTTTATGGGAGACCCAATGATAGAGACTCTACTGTAGTGATTGATATAATTGTTGATGGAGATTTAAAAAGTATCTTGATTATTATTGACTATCTTAAATAGGATATCTAAACCCTATAGGTAGCTAAAAATTGAAATTCCGGTCTCAGAGCTCCATTTCGCTGGTACCTTGTCGACTCTCTCGTCTAAGAGGGGGTTTGCTTTGACGAAGAGGCTCTTCTAAGCCTTCCATTCCTTCTACACCTTCACCTTCGTCGCCTCTTTCACTGGTCATAGATCGCTGACGTTGTCTCAATGTTGATGGGTCGTTCAGGGGCACTGTTACCCGACAATTTTTTTATTTTTTAAAACGCATTTTTCTTTAGTTTTTTACCACTTATTTTTTATTAATTAATTATTTCTACTGATCCTAAACTTTTTTTATTAATTATACTTATTGTTTTAATTTTATTTTACGACTTTATAGGTCTTTTTTTTATCTTGCAGTCTGTTTGTTATTTATGAGTAGTTGATAAATAAATTAATTGAAAAATTACCTTGGTTAACTTGGGTCGTAATAAATGTTTTGATTAATGTATCTGTTGTTTGTGTGTACAGGCTCAAAGCATAACGTAAGCTCTGCAATTCCGGTGATTTTTCCAAGAATGTTTTCTTCAATCCATTACCACCTGCGTGGAAATATTGCTTTATCGTGTCCAAAGCTACATCTAAAACTGCACATTGTTTTGGAGATAGATTTTTCTCAACTTCCTTTGATATATCCTAAAGAAGAGAAAAAATATTGAGTATTGTGCAGATGAGTTGGTTTAAAAATTAAAATAATTTCAGTAAATTTACCATTACTCCACTCAGTGCATTCTTGACATCTGGTTTGCCAGCCATGTGGTTTTTGAATATTCTTGACATATCTTCAATCTTGGCGTTAGCCGCAAGATTCTTCGCATTATCAGTCAAGTTTTTGAACATCATCTATAACAGAATTGGACAGTCATTAATTAATTATTTTATTTATTTTATCAATTAATCTTAACAAATGTTTTACACAACAGACAAAGTATGTTTGTCATACCCAAGATAAATAGATAAACTCGAAATTCATTCGTATTTAAATAAATTTTTTTGTAAATATATTAACATTGATTATTTTCTGTTGGAAGTTATAGAAGAGTGATTGAGAAATAATTAATAAATAAAGTCAATTCAATTTTATAAATATAACTCAGTTGTCTTTATTAAAAGACGGATTGCATTTAGAGAATATGTCCTTACGCTACAGAGAGTCGTCCAGAACTAATTAAAAGTTTAAACTAATGTATTGTAAGGACAAAGAGATCTAAACCTCTTTTCCATATGTTTTAAAAAACATATAACATACTGATAAAATCAGCGCACGAATAAAATGGTTACACTTTTCTGATTGGCCGATTTAAATTTGTATTCTATAATTATTGTTTTTTGGTATTTGTTACGATAATTTAAAAATTTTTTTTTATTATAATCATTATTGAATTGTAATCTCTATGATTTTATGAAAAAAAATATTATAAATATGTAATTATTTTCACACGAACGGTTTTTTTAATTTTATCTCTTTGCCTGACAGTAAGTCATGAGTTTTAATAAATACACTGAGAAAAAAAGTTCGTTAAATGAAAGAATTTTTTATTCAATCAATAAAAGAAACTTTGAATATTCTCAAGATAATATTTTATTCAGACTAATAGTAGTGTCATCAAAAACACATTTTGTCTTTTGTTTCAATGTTGCGACAAGTTTGAAAACAAATTTTCAAGGTTACGACAAGAATGAAAACAAATGACATTTCATTCATTTGAGTAAATAAAATGATTTCAATCAAATATTCATAATTTCGAAGAAATATTTTATTGCAACTATTTGAAATTTCGATGTTAATGATCGAATGAAATATTTTTTGTATGAAGTAAATTTTTTTTTCAGTGTAGGAATATTATATTTTAAAAACTATAAAATAAAATGAACAAAAATATCAACTAACTAGGATTTATTTTTGTTCAGAGAATCTAACATTTTCTAATTCTTTAGAAGACAAAAAATAGATATTTTCTCCCAATGAATGTTGTTTTGCTGTGCATTTTAAAAGTAAATCTAGATGATTATTAAATTGTAAGGTTTAAAATTACCACAAGTTATGAAGATGTAGCATTCAGTTTGACTAATATTATTTGTTTTTAAATTAACAATCTATTGATAGCCATTTTGGTCACATTCATTGTTGATAATAAGTAGTTTTAATCAACTTTTAGTTATTACATGTTAATGAATATTGATAATAGGTTTAGATAAAACCTTTCTTTACTAATTGACCCAGCACGAAACGATGCTATTTTTGAATTAAATTCTAAATTTTAATTCGATAGAAAAAAAATATTAGTTAAAATGGCTATACTTACACTCTTATCAGTCATAGGTGGTAAAACAACAGTTTTCTCCAGAATCCTCATCACAATCTTCCAAAGTTCTTTTAGTAATCGTTTGAGAACTGTTTTCTCACAGGACTGTGCATACAGAGACAAACTGCCATCAAGAAGGTCCATAAGTGGCCTTAAAACATCATCAGCTTCAACAGCAACGGCATTTCTTTGTGCTTGTTGAGTTAACGTCACTTGGCCGCCACCTTTGATGGCCAATAGCAGATCTCCAAGTTCACGGACGGAAACAGTTATTCTCGGTTCTAAGCTCTTGGCAAATAGCATCGCTAGATCATCCAAAGCACCATTTAATTGCTGTTGAAGTTCTTTTAGAATGTTGGCAGCATCTTCTTCCAGTTTTTCTCCACCCATTGATTCAAACATCTTCTCTAATTGCACTCGAAGTTGCTGAATGTTGTTCATTAAGATACACGCCTGAAAAAGTCGTTCTTATTAACTTGGTGCTCAAAAATTAACTACTAAAATATCAACTGAAACAAAAAAGTTCCAAGTTATGTTTCCATATCTTGAGGATTCTTTATCATTATTTTTAAGTGATTGGATATATTTATGTGTATACACATAAATATATATATGTATATATAATGTCCCATAGAAATGTGTGGATACTAATAAGTCAATTGTTTTTAATTAATAAAAAACTGCTGCTTTTGGTTTGGGAAGATAATTTTCTTGCGGACGAAATGTTGTGTTTTTGTTTTCTTATCTTATTATGATCATTGTAAAACTCTTGACATATCTATGAAATTTTCTTATTCGATTATATTGAAAAATAATAGTAAAATAATAACTTAAGAAATAATTTGAATGAACGAAAGTTGCTTCCTAACAATTCCTAACAGCTGAGTAAAGTAATCGATCATTAATATTAGGACATTTAAAATGTCGAATTAAAGAAATTGAAATTTAACATTAAGAACTAAGCAAATAAATCAAACAATTATTCAGCCTAGTTTTCAATATCGCTGCTTCCCAACGCTGCCTACTTAAAAATAAATAAAACCAATTTTTAAGACAAAAAAATCCTGCGGTGGATAAAAACCTCCCAAACAGGCAAAAATTATTTAAATTATCTATTGACGTGACTCTATAAAAATCTTAAACTAAGAGTTCGTCAGTTAACATTTTAATTTTAAAAATTAACTTCATTAATCTTCTTTTCTTTCTTCCTTTTTATTAAAAAGAGTTTCTGGAAAGAACCAATCAAAACTTCCAAAACAGCTGGAAATTCCAAGAAACTGGAAGGTTAAGAACACTTAAACAATTATTTTACATTTTGGTGAATGTCTAAGCAGATATTTATTTCTATAATTTTCTCACTGACATAAGATACTCTTCTTTAAGTATTAGATGATAATTCATCAGCATAATGATAATAAAACGTTGGGAACTAAAGACGAATCCAATATGTGAAATAGTTTTGAAATTCTGATTTTAACTAGAGCTCAAAGCAGTAACATCTTTGTAATTACCTTTATTAAATATTTTTAATGAATACTTCAATAAAACCTTACTTTACAGTGTTAAAAATAAAACATGTACTTCTTTTTTAAAATTTTATCCAATTAGGGTAAATATTATCAATGATTCCTAGCGTGTTACTAATTGAGATGTCTACTTTTTTAAAAAATAGTCTTTAATTATCCTAATGACTTCTAAAACCTAAAAGTATGTTACAATTTCTAATTTTTAGGCCCATCTCAATAATATTCCAATGTACTTTAAAGCTAAAAAGAACAACAAACAAAGGTACTTACAATTCTTTCCTCCTTAAGATGACTTGGAAATTCCTTCTTGACAATGTCTGAATAGGAGACTAAAACTTTAACAATTGTCTTGGCAAATCTCTTCATGTACCTCTTCCATATTTCTGGGTCAGGACACTCAAGTTTAGATACAACATCGAAGCACTGCGTTAGCTGTGTAAATACATCGACTACGGATACACTGAAGAGAGCGTGTTCGCTGCTTCTTTGGAAACCGTCCTTTTTATCTCTAGTGAAGGCACCATGGAGATACTCAAGTGATACATCGTCATTCTCATTGAGCCATTGCATCACGAATGGTTCAAACCAAGCTGGATACTCTGGTACAGAACCTTTGTATGGAGGTACATCCTTTACGTAGTTGGCATAAATCCATTTCACTCGGAAATGAAGGTTCATATAGGCCGAAGACTTACACAGACGATGCTGTTCATGCTCTTCAAGTGCATACTTCATGTCAGTTGCAAACAGTTGCCACATTGTTGATGCTGACAATTGACCAATGTTCAATTCTTGAGGGAACTGATTTAAAACTGGTGCATAACTATTTCGATCTTCTTCAATCACTGATACTATAAGTGCTATAAGCTTATGCCAGAAATCTAAAGAGTCTAAACGTGGCTCATGATCATCTGGATCTCTTTTAGCCTCATTTGGATCGACTTGAAACTCTCGATTGTAAAGTTCATAGCAGTTTGCAAAGAGAAATTGATAGGTTGAATATAGACAAGCTTTTACACAGTCTTTCACTACTGTACTGGCTCTTGGAGGACTTGATAACTCTTGAACTTTCATTCGAAAGAATGTAATACTTGTAAGCAGGTCCACTGTACTCTTCAAATCCATCAACTTTTCTTGGCTTGATGCTGGGAAATTGTTTCGATACATTGACAGATCGAGCCTTAGAGAATTGTGAAGTTGATCCAGCAGCTTGACAAATTTCTCTTTCTGGAATTGGAGAAAAGAAACAATGAGAAATTCAAAAGATGTATGATGTTGATTTTGGAGTAAATGAGATAAATAAACCTTGCATTGAGAAAAGAATTACTTATTTTTAAAATAGCATTTATCTCTTTACATAAAATTGTTAACATTGTGTTTTTGAGTAGAAAAAAATATTCCTTAAGTTATAACTTTTTTTAAACGTGAAATTTCCCAGCGTTGCTATTTACACAGCTATTTGAAGAGCTTTCAGGTAAGTGAAAAAAAACGTTAACATTTATACGATTTAGTAATTTCTCACAGAGTGGCAGTGAAGTAAATAAAAAATGAGTGAATTTCGAGCTTTGAAGCTATCTAAAATTGAATATTATACCATGAAGAGAATTTTTCAAAGGGAATAGATTCTAAATATTTTGAAGTTAGGATATTTTTAGACTTATTGATTGTCAGTCATTAAACATTTGAAATTGAAAATTAGTTCTGAGCTTTAATTTAAATTTGGAGTAGGGATAGGAATTAATTTGAAGGAAAATCTACAAGCTTTTAAACTATTCCGTTACATTTAACTGATAGATTCTATAAAAAAGAAAAGCTTTTAAAGGAATTTTTAATTGAATAGATTACTTTAGTTATTATTTTTTTGCTGTTTTAATTTATTTACTTCTACAGAACAATGTAGGAACTTGTTGATTTTTCAATTATTTTTTTTTAACAAGTTATAATCTATTCTTTGAAAATGAAGTCAAAACTTTACTAGTTTATCGAGGATAATTTCACTGGGAAATTAATTATTTCAAATCTGTTTACTGATCAATCCAGTAAGAAGGTCAAGAGTTGTGAAAATCATTATTTCCTCAAATATCTCGTGAAATATTGGTTTTAGATAAATTTTAGTTAAAATAAAATTTGTTTATTATCAAAATTTACACAAAAAAGTTCTCATACAAAATTTGCGTAGAGTGGATAGTCTTTAAGATATGGCAATGAGAAGCCTGAGTTTTATAATGTATTTATCTATACCTTGCTCTAAAAGTTCTCAGCCTTATATCTAAAAAATGAGTGGTCCTGCATAAATTTTGCAGAGATCTTTTTTGTGTAAATTTTAATTTTGAACAAATTTTATAATTACCAAAATTCATCTAAAACTAATAGTTTACATGATGTTCCTAAAAAAGTAATCATTGATCACCTTTTAAAACCATTAGACTTGAATTTTTTTAAGTGATATTATTTTTTATCATGATAATCTACTTTTTTGTTATTGACAATACATCCATCAAATTCAATGCGTATCAATATGCGATAATAATATGATATTTGACTAAATCCAAATAAAATTCCTCACATTCCCTGCGATATAATCTCACCTGTTGATAAAATCAAAAAACCCAGTCATGTTTAATATAATAGCTCAGTAAAATAACATCTCTTTTTGCTGGCTAAAATTGATAGGGTTGAAGTGCACGTCTGTGTATAGGGAGGGAGAGTAGGTGCATTGTGCAACGAGCCCGAACGAGCCTTGAGTAACGGATGGAGCTGTTTCCCGGGAAATTGCTGCATTTCTCACCCTCCTAAACCCCCAACAACCTTACTCTATTCCTCTTTACTCTGTTAGAACGTCCATGTCTTTGTTCACAAAGCATTCTAGACACACATTATGTTAGCCTGTCACTCATCAAACCGGAAATAAGACTCTTCACATATACTGGTGCTTTTACTTACCCCAAAATTGCTTGCTGCAAATCTATCACTAGCAGAGACAGCGGAGGATGCTGTTGTATGAGCATAGTATGCGTTTATATTGGCCAATAAAGTTGACATTACCGCTGGAACTCCTGGGCAAAGGTACTTGGTTGATAAACAGTGAAAATGCCTATGAAGTTGCCCCATAGAAACAAAGGAAATAACATTTTAAATTGATGTCATGTCAAATAAAGCATTTACACAATTTCATCCCCAAGTAGTTGAAGAGAAATCCAATATTTATTGTTTATCTGATGATTGTTTGTGATGAGTTGGTGTCTCAGACACTATTTTACATTTAATTAATTGGACTGATTAGTTAATTAAATGCACATACTGAAACACCTCAGTGTTTAGAATATCGAACACTATAAACAAACTATAGAATTTTGGTATACAGCAAGAGGCATCTAAAAATTGTCTACAAAAAAAGCTACAGTTTGTTTATGACGTTTTATGTGGTAAATACTTCAAGTGTTTAATTCATGAACACTTCAATGTGCTGGGTTTTGATGAGATGAATACATATCCCTATTAGCTGTGAAAATTTATCTACACTGAAAATCTAATTGTGTTATTCTTGAAGACACTTTTAACACACTAAGCCTGTTTAATGTTAAATGCCGTGAACAAACGATAGATTTTAACACACTATGAAATGTGTAAAAAGTGTACACAAAGCATGTATAGTTTGTTTATGGACATTTTACATTTAACACACTTTATGTGTGTGATTTTAATACGTTTATAAAATCTAGAGATTTACAGTGTAGGATATCAAAATACTACTTTTTATGAAGTGCTAAAACACTAGTTTTGTCATGAGACTTGAACTTGCTCGTTTGAATGTAGCGTGGCATTTACTACACGCAGACAAATGTATAGTAAAAATTATCCTGAATTTTATGGTAACTTGGTGGAACTCGCTTTGTTCAGAGTCATAGATTAATTTTAGATGTCAGAAATAAAAAAGGTTATATATTAATATAACAGTCTAAGCCATGGTTCAATGTGAGGCTATAAAAAGATCAGTCTTGCTTTCTGCTAAGATCGTTAACTCTAGACGCAGTCAACTTTTAATACAGCTTTTCAAAGAGGGAGAGGTTAATTCATCACATTATACCATTTGCTATTCTTTGAAATATTTATTACGTTCAGAATTTGCTGTTAAAAAACCAAATGTCTTTCCATTTGTTAGTCTGTACGTATGCTTGTGTACTATAGGTTATTATTCTTGACCGATATTAATGCATCTTGTTTCTATCAAGTCATCAGTTATCAAAATGGAAGCCTACTGATTTTCATAATAATTGGGTAGACCATTTAATATTTGTAAGCTACTTATCATTTATTGCAATTCTTCTATTGTCTAACCAATTCTATGCAACAATCATTTTTTTCTCAACTTGAAATGAGATATCTTAACTTTAGAGCTAATATTTAATCAGTGAAGTACTTATTAACTTTTCGTCACTCGCGTTACTCTTCCCAATGTCTTTCATTGTGTGGTAAGTCCTACGTCGTCCATGTTAAAGTTGATACGACATTGTCACGTATTCACGCGTATAGCAAATATACAATTAACAAATGTAATTTTATGGTTTATTAATAAAGTTAATTAATTAATACTTTTAAATGTTAACTAATTTACAAGTTGGAATACCTTAGGTTGAATGTCAGCTAACAAGCCGGCTAAACAACTTGGCACCACTGTGTAAAAATTTCTTTGACGATTGTCATCGCGCAGTAAACATGGCGCCGCATTTCGCGCGTGTGTTGCAAAAAATTGGATTTTTTATTGTTTAAAACGTTATTCATGAATTATAAAAACACATAGCGCGAGTAACGAACGGTTAATTATTGATTATTCTTATTATTAATTGATTTTATCAAACTACACACGTTCATCAATTTAGTTGAATTTTTCATATTGAAACAATTTATGGAGAGTGCAGTTTTTGTTTTATCAGCCATTTTGAACTATCTCTAGTAGGTTATGTAAGTTTTTTTAGCTAAGTATATGTACCATAGTTTTAAAAAAATATAACAATTGAAAGAAATAACATTAGAAAAAAGAAGTTTGTCTGTTGAATAATGGAAAGGAAATTAACCTCCGTTAACTCATTGTATTGCATTAATTATTTTTAGTGTCCAAGTGAATGCATAAAATTAAGTGTCACGTTCATTCAACACTCAAGTAGTTATTTAATTTTCTCTGTTCTTCTTAGGAATGAAATTGTTTAATTAAATAAAAAAAGTGATCAACAATAATACTGACGTCATTGCTTGGTAAATACTCTCAATTCCATAGCGCATAGCAAATTCATCCACAAGTTCCTCTCCAGGTGGGTCAAAGTAAACCTTCCAAGCATCATCGCCTTTAGCTTGTGGCAATTTGACCATTCCACCATTTTCTTCACATAAACTGTGGAATAAATTCTCGTGGAGACAGGTGTATTGTACATGATAAGGAGCCACTTTTTCTTCTCCTTTTATCTCAACACTGATGTGCAGCCGAATTGCTCCAGAAACTGCACTTTTATCTGTTCGCTTCTCTAAATTATACCAAACATCCATCTCGCCTGAAAGAGTGCGCACTTCGATGATGGTCTGACCAAGAAAATCATCACTCTCACGAGTCAATTTTTGCCGTAATTTAGACTTGAGATCATTGTCTTCATCCCACACTCGGACTTTGATACGATCTGATGAATTGTGGCATTCACTGAAAGCATTAAATTTATTGTTGGTAAGTATAAAGAATAAAATAAGATTATTATAAAACAAAAACGGGAGTCATTTTTAGAGGGTAGAATTAAAGTGGTACCATAAAATTACATTATGAATTATGCCTTCTATTGTATCTAATTACAATATAAAAATAAAGTAAACTAGTATAAATATCGGTACTTTTTATTTGACCTCTAATGGGTTAAATCATTAAAAGTGTTTTAATATGACGTTTTTGAATGTTTTTAGTTTAAATCGTCTAAATCATGTCACTTATAGTTAAGACCTGGCTTTGACTTGAGAATTAAAATAATAATAATTTCATTTTGAAGAGCTATGTTCAAACTAAGTTCAAATTTTTCGAAGCAGGTCTTATTCTATCGATATATTCCAATATCAAAGAAAAATAGTCCAAGTCAGGTCTTATTTTTTGACTTGAGTCCACAAATTCTTCCATCCTAAATTGCCTGAATTACACTGATAGAAGAATATATTTGGTGGGACTAAACGAATTCATTAAAATTATTTTTCAGCATTTATTTGATACAAATAAAGATTTATTTGTAGGTAATAAATCTTCTTTGCTTAGCTGTCTGATATTATTATATTTATAAAACCATTAAAAATTCACACGAAATTAAGTGGTTATAATGTAATTGCTCGTCGAGCTATTGTTTAAAAGAAAATATTAATTTTAATTATTACGAAACTGTTATTTTTTATTTAAAAATTTTCAATAAATCAAAGTTATTTCATACTATAACCTAACATTTGATTATGCTTTACCGTCATTCTACCTTACCATCGAGCCCAATCATAGTATTTAGATGAGAAATAAATATTTGTTTGCAGCTAAGAAATCATTCATTGAGCCAAATCAATCTATTCTAATAAATAATTTCTTAATTGTTAACAAATGTTCGTTCGATTTCTCTTTCAAATAACATATTTATTAGCTGCTAATAAATTATGTTAGATACAAAGAAATACTTCTATCAGTGTAGGAGTATCTAAAATTGCCACGTAATTTTTATTTCATTCTTCTATTCGTATAGGATTGCGACTATTGGATTGGTCCATATACAGTTACTGATTACTCTATAATGTAAAAATAGACTTTGAGAATTTATTGATTTAAAATTAAGATTATGGTTTCTATAATAATTTAAGTGCTTTGATAGACCATTGATTGTCATGTATCGAACCAATAATAATTATCTGATCTGAAATAAGTAGTTTTGTCTTTTGAAGCCTTTTTCAGAACCAACAATCTCTAACAATTCCAGTCAATATGCTTCAAAAATTTAAAGTTTGTTGAATTAACCAATCTCATTTATTTTGTCATAACGACAAAATTTAATGAAGCTTTTTTTATTTTTCATCTCAAAATGTTATAAAATTTGATTAATTCTAATTTATTTTATGTATTCAAAATAGAAGTAGTTTCCGACGAAAAAAAACAAAACTTTAAAAAGATTATTTGTTGATAAATTATTCAATTGTTTAAAAAAAAGCGGTTCTTTTTATATAAATAATTAAATATCTCGAGAACTATCAATCGCAGAGAGCTCAAATTAATCTCATTTTATTCTTCATAAAAATCTCTACAAATTATATGTAACATATTTCAATCTCCGATGTGTTGTTTTCGAGTTATTAAATAAAATAAAAGTATTTTTTTTATAATCCAAAAAGCTCCATCTAGCTTGTGGTCACAAATACTTCCTGTAATCTATCATCCCTAAAATTAGATTACTTCGCTTACTCCGCATGTCTTTATCACCTAATCAAAAAATTTTCAGAGAATTTAGTCTAGTTTGTTTACATACAACTATCGAGAAGTTGGGCTAAATTTTTAACCCCTCCTCTTCCCCGACTCTTTTTACACCTCTTAACTATCGATTTTAATGAAACCATAGACAACAATCGCTAAATTTGATTAAATGATTACTCAAAAATTGACGGTTGAGAGGTGTGAAAGGTGTCGGGGCAGGGGAGGGGGGTATGTTAAAACTTTACACCAACTTTTTACACTGTCCTATTCTGTCCCTCTTTTATTTCTTCCAACGATTAATTCAAATATTACAATCACTGAAACATTATTACAATTATTTGATTCTTCAAACGCAAAAAAGTACCTGAAGGGCTGGTTTCCGCACCCTATACATATACATATATTTATATATATTCTTGTTCAGCATAATTTTCTCTATAACATACTAAAATTCCAACGAAATCAGAGTGGTATAACCTAATCTAAATAATTACCGAAAAATGTTTTCAATAATAATTAAAATTCATACTTACAAGTAAAATTTCTCATGCCAAACAGGATTTAATTCTTGAGGCATTGTTCTTGTCCTTTTCTTCACTTTTCCCACTTGTACGGTGACGTAAGGGTCAGAGGTTCCACTTTTGTCCTTGGCTATCAATCCTTGTGCACAGATTACTGTCGACGTGACATAAAAACATTAATTTACTGGAATAATCCGATTAGATAAGTGTTACCATCTATTTGTAACGAACTCAAAAACGAATCAGCATACCGCAGAAGTTGTCAACTACACCTCGTTACAACAGTCAACCGATTAGTTTTGAATTCAAAATGACACTTTGTACATAACTTTGGTCATTCAAATTTGTTAGGAAAATAACATTGGAGTGTCCAACTTTTCTTGTTTGGTCTCTTGGAAATAATGTGAGTTGGAAACTGTAGTACAACGTCACTGTATATTATATGAAAAAAGTATGAAAGAATTTTGTCACTTGAGGTAATTGCATTATTTTCTCTTAGATAACCAATGGTCGTATTATGATGTTTACATAAAGTTATTTTTTAGGATAAAGTGGAATGAAAGTAAAAAAAAAGTTATCCACAACGTTTTAAAGTCATTTCATGTTTTTTTTTGCTTAAAAATTGTATAGAGTTTAACTTTAAAAACTCGAGCTTGGTCATTCGAATTAGCTGACACAGCTCAACTTGGTCCCTCGTTAATACCTCTTCCGTAACACTAAACGAGTCTCAACAACTGCAACAGTGTAAGGTGTAGTCGTCAACCTCTTCTGCGATATTCCTGATATAAATTACACTTTTCCATTTTCTTTTTAATCCAATTTTATACTTGTTAAAACTCAAAAGTCCACATGGTCTTTCCGTAATAAAAAACAAAATATATAGAAATGTGTAATGGATAAAGTAAACAAAAAAGAATCATTTAATATCATTGAAATTTTTTCAATGTTTCTTGTTAGGTTGACAAATAGATTTTTTTTTTAACATGCATCTCGACAGAAGTACGACACACACATTTATATAATTAAGGCAGTCCTTTGATGAATAAAAAAATAGATACAATCTTGGAGAGATGAAAAACTTACCTTTGGAAAAGGATAGAGAAATGAATGTCTGGGTAATCAAACCAGTTGATGGAAAATTTAATCGATCTTTAATTTTATGAAATAATTTAACTTTACATATTTTTTGAAGAGCACAAATAGGATTTTTTTTCAAAATATGAGATAAAAAGGTTAAAATAATGCTAGAAAATTTTTATCAATGATAGAAAAATATGCCGCCTTCGTGTGTAATTGGCTATTTTCCGCCCTTGTTACATAATGTACTATTTTAACTTCCCAGTGGGAAGTTATTGTGATAGGTTCGATTGCGCGAATTTTAAATTTTCATATATTTTTACGTTTCAAGGTTCTTAGACTCAAATGTTATAGATATAGTTCCGTTTAAGGGACATCTCCAAAAATAAATTACAGTACTCTCTCTCTCTCTCTCAATAGTTCCTGCTATTGAGCGGAAGTTCGTGGTACTCGTAATTTTATCGTTAAAATAAAAAATTGGTTAACTTAATAAAATGATTATTATATAAATTTGATTATTCAGTTAACTAAGAACATAATTGATTTGAAAATATGCTTATCACTCAAATTACACTATTATATGTATAAGTCATTTTGAAGTTCAAAAAGCCGTCTTGCCCCTTTACGTTCTCTTTTATTTTCTCATTTTCAATTATTGTCAAGTAATTAGATCAATGATATTCATGTTTTCTATCTTAGAGTATGAACTAAGCTTCAAATTAAAAACTAAATTATGATAAAATATTCATTTTTAAGAACATAATTTGACAAGAAAAATTTTATATGAATTTTCTAGGAGAAATTTATGTATATTCTAGTCATACCCAAAGAATTATAACGGATCATTGAGGCTTACTATTATTTAGAGATATTTAATAAAAATTTTTGATGTAAATTGTGTGAGAAAGGTCTAGATTATAAAAAAAAAAAATTATTGATTTGATGTGTGAATATACAAGACATCGATATTTTCATGACTTGAAATATTGCCAATCACTTGTTTGCATCAACTGGCCATCTACCGGAAAACGCTTAATTATTAGGCTGATTGTCCTATTCTAATAGAAAGTAAGACTGGCTCATTTCTAATCCAACATTAGAGTAAGGTTCAATGTTAGACCAGCAATAAGCCATTCTTGCTTTCTACCAGAATATTCATCAAAGAAAAAGTAATTGTTTGAGAAATATTTTTGTTTTTTTTTTATAAAAAAAACTATTCTTAAAAAGAAAAAAAACCCTAAAAGCTGCTTATCATTTATACTTTCATCTTAATCCGGTTTACAATGATGGATGACTTGGTATCATTTACAAAAAGACTGCCTTAATATAAGAGATGTTGGAAAAAGCGTGCACAGAAGCGCGTAAGTGACGAAATATTAAATAAAATAGTGTGATAAATGATGGTGTAACGCGTGCTAATGAGACTAGTTACATTCAAGGATTATATTATGTTGCACATGCATCAGTATCACCAGTTTCTAGCATCAACTTCACAGACACTTCAATAACTTAGGCTTTGACACATAAAGCTTATATTAATCCCTCATCTCCTGTTGTTCGGTCACCGATGATCCATGAATTCAACTCCAATGGTTATGTAAACCTTACATGTATACATATGATTGTGATTCCAATGTGAACCACGCGAGAAACTATCTCCTGTTTGTGACAATGTGGCCACGCAACTGTTGAACGTGATCATTAATCGCGTTAGTTTCTAATCATACGCGTGTTTGTGCATTACAGACAAATGTTTGCCGGAATACACTTCATAGACATATTGATTATCAACTTGATGCTACTTAATCTACCAGGCTTGTTTTGATCATCTATTTTAGACTGTATTGATATCAATCAATATCTAGTGAGATGGATTGTTGTATTGTTGAAAAGAAGGTGAGTATCGAGAGAGCTAATTAAACTTTAACTTTGTAACTTTGGTTTAGGTTTAGTAGGTTGAAAATGGATAATTTTGAATTTGGAACCTGAATCAATTTGCCCAAATGAAATGACATCCATTCATTTTGGATTTGAAAAAGTATGGTAGATTTGGTGATTATTATATAGAATGGACCTTTATCTCTAGATGGTCTCCTATTGTAGAAAAGTAACACAGGGCAGCCCTTAAATTATTTTTCTCCATTAGCACACCATCCTGATCAGAAGCAAGATTGGTCCAACATGGGTCCAAGGTGGATCCAGTGATGAATCAGTTTTGCTTCCTACCAGGATGTACCAGTGCTAAGATTCATCTTTTCCTTTTGATATAAAGATTTTTCAATCGTGAAGTACCTGTTTGGACTAGAATCCCTTGTAAGGATTGTCCAAATAGAATAGCACGATTGGTGCATGTTGTGACTTGCTACAACATTGGGCATAATTAGCGCAGTGTAAGGTCAGAAATAAACCAGTATCAAGCACTATTGAGGTGCTAGGAAAGCTCCTCTTAATGCATGATAACAATTGATGCAAATATTTTTTGGACTCCCAGTAGGAAAGCACGTCAGGTTCATCTCTGACTCAGTACTCTGCCAATCTAAGTCAATTATAGCCCAATTTTGGGTCATAAATGTGCTAGTTTGTTTTCTGCTAGAAATTTGCGTATTTCGTAAGTATTACTTCGATTAGAAACTATACGTTTGAAGAAATTTTTCAAAATATATAGAGTACTTCTATGATATAGACCTTCAAACATTAAATTTTGCATGGTTCGCCAATTTGAAAAAATGCCTGCTAGATATATCTTATTCACGGTAACGATAAACTAGTTTAGCAATTTTGCTCTAAAAATTTCCTGGTGACCAAGTCCGAGGTTATTTTAATCGGAAATAAATCAAAAGATTTGATTACTGGAGCGGACATAAACGCCAACTGTTACCTCTTTTTCCGTGAAGCGGTAAATTTCTGTTTATTTTTTTCTTTTACAGTTTTCATTTCTCATAACAGAGTGAAAAGATAAATTATCTAATGTATAAACATAAATTCAAATGTACATACGAGTACTTTTTAACGCAGTTGTCAGCATAAATCAATTCTCTAAAATTTTATTGAGAGTTACCATTCAAATAATAGCTTTGAAGAAGCCATTTCCAAACAAATAAAATAAAAAGATAATCGGCTAGAGACGGTTTAGATTAATTTAACAGGTAATTTAAATGAAGATTGTTTTATTCAATCAGTAGCTACCAACTTCCAAGCTTTCGTGTTTATTGATCTTACCTCCTTTTTATTTCTACTATTTGCATGGCTACTCATTAGTTTCTTTTTTAAGCATTCTCATGAACGCATTAATGCTATAAAGCACCTACGTTTTTATCTTTGAATGTAGCATTTTTTTTCTTTTAGTATTCACATAAAATAGTTGAAATTTTGTGGAAAATATTTACGTGTTAAAAGATTTCTATGATCATTTGTTCAATAAAAAATAAATAAAATTGAAAGCAAAATAAAATACTCTCTTTTCGTTCAATGACGCTATCGCTAGATGGCGTATCCGTTATTTTATTGTTAGAGTTTATTTACGAGCGTTTGTTAGTGAATAATTTATTTTAAAATCTTTTTCAACCCTCAAATGTTATAATTTATCACAGCTGGTAAAATTAAGAGCTCTCTTTATGAATAATCATTATTCTCGTTTAATAAAAATTTTGCTGTTACTTTAGAAACAAGTAATAATGAAACCAATAATGACTTGAAATTTACATCAAAGTTGAAAGAATATTTCCATGACTATTTCATATTTCAAATTTATATTACAAAGCTTCAAATAAACTCTCTAAACCCTCAAGTGTAATTAAATCGAGTAAAGAAGCTAATAAATAATAGTTCCATAACTTTTGTATTATTCAGGTGAAAATCTTCATAATTTAAATGATAAAAGGAGTGAAAGATTGGGCTTGTCGGCTTGAGAAAGGAAGAAAGAAAAAAAAAGAAAGTACGAAAGAGGTTTTAAACTTCTTCAACTAGATCAATGATGGCGCTGCACTTGAATGTACGTTGAACTATCGATTTCCTGCTCACGCAAACACTAGTCAAATGAAAACTAACGTCAAATATTACCTTGTTTACTTGTTTAACATATTTACACATTTTTTTCTTTGTTATATACATATAAAATGTAAAATTAATTTTATTTATAGATAGTTATTTTTTGATATTAGTAATCGTGAAAATGTGTGTGTCATAATTTCGGTTAAAATCAAATGAATGTCGTGAACGTGTATAGACGTTTTATGATGTGATTTATTTGTAGAATGGATGGATGATTTAAATTTAGTGTCATGGCTACCTGTGATGGCGATCTTGCATGACCACTTGCTGGTCCCCTCGAGGACGATCTGCTCTGCCTGTTCTAGACTGTCAATGTGTGTATCCGGGTCGACTGAAAATGTTGTGCTGAAAAGAAGACAATGACCTCGTAATCGCGCTCAATTCAAACTTTTCTTCCAACCCTTTTATTCCGTTTTTTTTATCCTCTTGAACATATTTGCGTGGACGGTTTTATTGCCATTAATGATACTTATTTTTTATAACCCTAGAGATACCACTAATGCTAAATTGGATAAATTAATGGTTTCTGCTATTGAAGAAGAATACTATACAACTTCTAAATAGCTTTAATTTATAAATAATGGGCTCTATGAGACCCAAATTCACTTTTTATTTCATTCATTTCTGCATAAGGTATGTGACTAACACGCAAGTCGTTTTATTATGTCAATTTTCGAGGAATTCGAAGCTTTAAATGGAGTTTGAATTGCTATAGAGAATTTTTGATGCCCAAAGAATTTCAGATATTCATAAATTGTTAAGTGCAAAACTTTTTAAAGTTGGTATCTTTTTATTAAATACAAAAAAGAAAAAATGAAATTCTTCAGCTGAATGAAAAGTTGGACGAAAAAGTTTTTAATTGAATTAAAGTGATAAACTTTCTGAACGTTACATGAATCTGATCAGAAATAAGTTGACCAATGTTTGGATACCAAATGGGTATTGGTTATTGATATAAACAGTAAAGTCATTGAAGAAAACATAAAACAAAAGATTTGCGAGTAAAGCTGATACTGCAATTCGATTCTTTTATTACATAAACGTGACGGACCACCTGTTAACCCAACGATAGTAGAATTAACATTACCAGTTGCTGGCATAGTCTAAAAGAGAGTGAAGCCAACAGTCAGGTCAACCGTCTGGCTTAGATATATTCAGGCTAGATTCTAGAATAAGAAAACTTGTTGCTCACTACCTCACTCCTTTGTTCGATGGCGTTGAGCCAACTCCAAAGACTAGCACGTCCAATAATCAACCTTACCAATTTCTTACTTGAGTTATGGTCTAGATAAATGAATTGCTAATGCTAATGGGCCATGTTTCCTGACATGTACAAGATACAGTTCACATTTTTCACTATTTTTTGCAATTATCGCTTGACACTCTATCTATTCTCACGTTCTTTAGAGACTTCGATCTTGGTGTTTTGCTCTTTTGTTTCCAATAGCAAAAAGGATTTGTCATTTGTTGAAAATGAATGGAAATAGTCGACACTTTTTCATCATAGTTAGAAAAAAGGGTATTGATGGAAAATGTGATTGTATGCTGATAAAATTTTCTTGCTATGTTGGAAATAACAAAAATCATCATTTCAGGAATGATAAAAAGAAAACTAGAAATGATACCCAACAGTGTAAACAATGAATCATTGAGTTATAGGTTTGAACAGATTTGGAGCAAGCTATATGTCTAGGATTGACATATCAAAAGATTAAAACACCAAGACTCACAGGTCTTTTGTTTTTTTTCTTAGTTCAAGGAAAATTTTTTTCCGATCTGTAGTACTTTAGGTGGAAGAAGCTTTTAAATAATTAAAATGTTTATAACCATAAAAATGGTCTATGTACAAGTAATTTTGATGAAGTAATTTTGCTTAAGGTATAATTTTGTGGTTCTGATAGAGTGAAAACGACTAAAGTTGTCCATTCTCAGGGATTACTCGAGTTAGTTGAATTTGATTTAGCTTCCGTATATGACGTTTTAGGTGAACAGGGCATCTTTTATCGATTTATACAGCTCTACTATTCCATACAAGAATGAAATAGATAAATTGTCATGCCTCAACAACGACGAGTCTAAAATAACAAGATATAACGACCTACATTCCTAGTAAACAGATGTTTATTCTTTATCTTCAAACATCTTGTATGCATTTGAATTTACAGATTAAGCCGTCAGTAGTCTGATTCAAGTATGACTTAATAAACTTAATTGGCTAAGTTTCCAACACTTTCATGCCATGTTAATCATGACTATCGACAAATTGTCACTGTTTAATTATAATAAAATAATTAGAATACTCGTTTGTTTTATGGAGTTGGTGGAGTCAGGAAATGTAGATTTATTCAGTGATTTCAATTTTACGAAGCCCTAGTTTTCGGCATATTTAGAGACAAATTATGGGCACATTAAAACATCAAATTAACATTCATAGCGAGGAGACATCAAATTAAAAACAAAGAGATGATAAACATTAAGATAAATCAAACCATTTTTGAGATTATTACAGCCTCTGATTTTTGAAAAATCGCCAGCGAATATATGAAAATAAAGTAAAAACATCAACACGCATACATACGGGGCACAGCACATTGATGGGCTTTGGTACAAAACAAAGAGCCTGGTCAGCCATCTTACTTAGCCATAAAGCTTTCAAGGACTTGTTTTACCAATTGGATTAAACCCACACAGAAAAGAGTATCAATAAAAGCTTCATTTGCTATTGATAACCTGATGAAGTTGGTTGAAAAATTACTGCTTTATTCAAGATCTTTGATCATTTCTGGAGCTCTTGATGTCCAAAGTTAAACAAGTCAATTTTGACTATTTATTTGTAACACGAAGAGACGATTCACTGGGTAGTTACTCTAACAATTATTCCTTCAAAGCGCCAGCGTTCTGAATGTTCACTTTGATTTCAGTCTCGTACAATGAATAAATACTCTAGTAGAAAAACACAATGGACCCATTCCTGGCCCAACATTTTACCATTCAAAGCCAACTGCTGCTCAATATTCGGCCAACAATGAGCCAATTTTGTTTCCTGCTAGGATATCCTTTAACTAAATTAATTATTCACCAGAAAAGACAAATTATAAACAGGGGTAGTAATTTTCCAATCGACAGACCAGGTAGTCCTGAGCTGTTCCCAAATTACAAAGCAATCTTCGAACAAGATCTTATTTGTTGCAGTACCCTTCAAAAGTTAGTTCATCGTCGTTTATTTCAACTAGCTTTTGGACTGCACTGCATTTAAATTTAGTTGATTCTTTTACTCGTTAAAAATTATCCTACAATCCTAGTGTTAGCAGTGATAAATAGCTTCATTCATTTTATATCCAACTAATTAGGTTCATAAATAAATTATTACAAGTACACTTAATGTATATTTAGCTTCTAGAACACCCTAACAATACCTAGAACCATAAAAATTCATCAGGTTTCTCACAAAGTTTACTATTTTACTTTCTTCTGTGATTTAAACAACTGTATAACTAGCTCTATGATTGTTTGGATTGTGTTACAGGTTAATATAATACATATTCATGTCGTAGCAGTAGTACTGTTGTTTAAAGAGTGGGTGTGTTGAAGCCAATTGGGAAAACTAGTCCTTGATAGTTTGATTATCTGGAGCAGTGTAACCTAACCTTAGAGAATAACAATGCTGAACATAAAAAAAGGTAATGAATGATCAGGATTTTTTGACAACCCACAAACCTGTAATGGCGATTTTTGCGGACCACTTGCTTGTCCCATCCAATACCGATTGCTTCACCGATGACATGTGATTGATGTGAGCGGTCTCATCGACGCCGAATACAGACCTAAACTCCGATGAGATTCACATCAAGTGCCACACACAAAACCACTTAACCCTCAATATGTTTCCATAGACACTCAGCCACTTTATTGCATCAACACTCTTACCCATATCTCGCTCTCTCTTCCTCTCTGTTTTGTATTTGATGTTTTCTCAAAGCAATAGCCATCATCATAATAAGGGTACTACTAATCATGGACATAGGTATATGTATCAGGGCTATTTGATGAATTCAATTAATCAGCTTTTGGTTAATTAGCAAAAATAGCTATTGAAATATTCAATTGATGTTAATGTTAATATTCTGCAGTACGCTTGTTTAATGACAAAATATTCATTTTCGTGACATAGTATTAATTAATAATTATCCGAAATTGCTTTATTAAGGTTAATTGTTAAAATTATACACAGTAAATTGATTACATTTCGAATTATTAGGGATTTCTAATGTTGATTCCCTTTCCTGAAGTTTAAATGAATTGAATATTTTTTGCACAAACACTTTGATCTTAATAATTGTTTCGGTATTGACTTTAGTAAATGTGGATGTTCAGTAATAAATAAATAAATAAATAAAAATTGTTGCAAATTAGTTCATACGTTCGAGTGACTTTGAGTGATTATTACCAATTCATTTTCGAAAAATTGAAAAAAGGGTTCAGAAAACTTTGTGAAAAATTCTACTTGATGCTATTAATTTTATTGACACTCAAAATGGCTGACAGATTTTTGAAGATACTGACCATTATACTACCGAGAAAAAAATGTATTCAGTTAAAACAATGATTGTTTAGACTGAATTAATTGATTAGTGTCGTAAGACATCTATGCTTTATTTCAATCCCTCGTATTGAGCTATTATACAGCTTGGAGGGTGTAATTACCTGGACAAAATCAGGTACCACGAGGTAGCTAATAATAAACTTGATATCGATTGATGAGTGTAAAAATATTTCTCATAGTTTTTATGATAAAGAGAGAAAAAGAGAGTTCGATTGTTTATCAAGTACACACAGCATTCATATACATATCTTCATTGAGTATCAATAAAAATTGGATATATTTTATTAGCTTTATCTAAAAATGTCTTTTTTCCCATTCGATTGCTATTACTTTACATACTGTACTATTTCAAGCGCGTACATCATACGAATCTGGCTGACAAAGAGACAAAGATAAAAGTCTAGTGTGTTTGATCATAAATTGCATTGCATTCACTTCTGATTCAGCAATTAAAACACTTCATTTATCATTGCTCTGTTGATGATCGATTTTCATAGCTCGTTAGTGCATATTAAGTATTATTTTACCAAAAGTGCTACAATCAGGATAAAATTATTGTAACGATCTCATTATTCTTTCGTTATTGTTTCAGTTGTTAGCGTTTTATTCTCATATTACTAACTATCATTGCTATGAGAACAGTTTGTGGTTCCTTTTTCAATTAACTCTTTGGCGAACGGATTTATCTGTTCAACTAATTTTAATACAATTTGTTATTAATACATAAAGAGAAGAATGGACTACACATGATCCTTTCGTTCAGGGAAATTTTACTTTTAATATAAATGGGAAATTGGTATAAAAAATTTGAAATACTGATATCTCAGAAATTTATAGAGATAGAATATTTGTACTGAAATTAAAGAAAAGTCTCATATTATAGCAATTGAAATAATCTCCAAAATAAACGGTCAATGAGTCTCATAGCATGATTAGAGCAATGTGATTTAATCTCTGTGTATTAAAATATCCAGGCTGTGAAGTAAATGGTGGATCAAATAATGGTGGATAAGTGTAAGTATACGAAGAAAATTGTTTTCCTTATCTAAGAAAGAAATATTAGTTAGGTAGTAACTAATTTCTATGAAGTCTTTCAATAAAATTACGGTATGCTGTGAGGAAACATGATAAAGTCCGTATGTACACTGTAAATTCAAGGTGTCTTACAGTAAACTTATCTACACGTGTTGAATGTCAAGCTCCGTAAACAAACTATAGATTTAAACACGCTTTGAAGTGTGTCAGAAATGACTACAAAGATCTATAGTTTGTATATAGCAATTTAACATTGAACACTTATTCCAACACACCTTTGACTTACAGTGCGGGTTCTTCGAAATAATGTCAGAATTTTTGACACGTTTTGAACTATTTTCAATTTCTCATCCGGAAGTTATTGTAATAGGATCAATTTTTGAAATTCGTAATATTGTCATATCTTTACGTTTTAAGATATTTCACGGCATATTAGAAGTGTTGGAAATTCAGGATTATGGTGAAGAAACTTTAATTAAATATAGACTGAATTTATTTCGTTATATCAAAACTTTATTTAAAGATAACGGATAGTGTTGAAAAGTGCATTTAAATGCTTCAGAGATTTTCTTAAGACTAACTAAAAATGTTTTTAAACATTACTTTAAAGTAAAAACAACCAACCCTCTCTGTTTTGTTAATATTTACAGATGTCTGCAGTATGTGGCATAATATTGAATAAAATCAATGGGTCCTTTGACTGACCCAAGTACTTGAGGTCATATATTAAAAAAGTAATAAAATAAAATAGGAATTGTTTGGAATCTTTACAGATGTGTATTAAAAATACACATGTTTTTATTTCTTGAACTTGAAAATAAATTGTTTAATAAACAAAGAATAAATTGAGATTCATTTTTGTTCAGAGAATTCAATAGGAAAATTTAAAAATTAATGTTCATATGTCCCTACGTGTGTCCGTACGTACATGTGTCAGGTTTCTTTTTGTTCTCAATATCTCGAGAAAATCTAATGACATTGACTTCAGACAAATTTCATTTTAAAGATAATACAATGAAGAAGACTTGAAAAAAGTGTAAATAAATTCGGCACAGTCGTTTCTTTTTTATAACTAATAAACTGTAAAATAAATCAAATAAAAAGAAATTAAGAATTAACTTTACTAATTATGTAATCATAATTGTTAAAAAATTTGGTCGATATTAACAAAAAATTGACGTTAATGGCTTTATATAATTCATAATAATTACATATTGTTTATAATAACCACAATTTGTTATAAACAACAAAAAACAACAATCATATGACAAATTTCAATATGTATATAAAATATAGATACATACAATTTTTATAAAATTTTAATAAAAAATAAAACATGTAAAAATAAAAAAATAGTCAGTAGGAATGAAAAGTTCGTCGTGTGGGCACAAAGTACATCTAGACCCATTTTTTGTTTCTGGAATTCAACACCAGATAAATGCAAGTAAGAGTTAATTGACTTGAATCATGTTTTCCACGTGTGAAAACTAGCAAAAACATTTTTTTACACAAGATAAAAATAATATTTTACGGAAATTCATACTCCAAAATCCAATTATAAACTTTAATAAATGATAAATCAAAAACTTTATATAGGTTACATGAATTATCTTTTTTGAGTATTTTTAGTATTTTATAATTAAATTATGAATTTTTTTAATATTATGTCACTAGTTAGTCTACATTGATGTTAAACTTTAATTTCTATTCCATTTTGAATGAATTTCAGAGACAGGATCGAATTTCTGTCAAGGCAATCAAGAGCATGAAATTGATCGATGTCAATCACTTGTAATTGAACTCTTGACTAATAATTGCAAACAAAGACTAAGTTAATTCAATCATCATTTGTTACAATTTGACAACACTTGTTTAAATTATTAGCAATCGAATGAGACGAATGAGAAATCTTTTAATAACTATTTTAATTAATATAGGTCTTGTAGAAGAATAAAAGTTCATTACTTACCGAATGAGTTCGAATATTTCTGGCTTTTCTCGTTCCCTCTGCTTCATTCGTTCCTTCATTGCAGTTATAATGCTGTTGGCTTTGTCTTCAGCTCCATGTTTAGAACTTTTCTCTGCCGCTCCTGTAGTGAACAAGATAAAATGGAATATATTTCTTCAGTTGTAATGTTTTTGGTGTACATTGACGACATTTATAAACGAAATACTTAATACGTATTTCACATTTCCATCAAAGTTGATCTTGAAACTTTATAATAAGTTAATTAAGATGATAAATGTATCTTTAATCATAAAGATGTGCTTGCAATACTGAAAAGATTCAAGAGAGGATACAAATTACTTGGAAAATTTAATAATAATCTGTATCTTCTGACGTACTAACTAAGTTCATACTGCGCACATAATTATCAAGCAGATATTCTTAAGAGAATAATAACATTTTATTTTTGTCTGAGAACATTTTTTTATTTCATGTAAATGAGACTAATTGATAAACTTTATAGAATACTGGAAAGTTATTCTAATGAACCTGGAGATCAAAAATTTCAACATGTCTTTGTGTTTTAAGGTCATTATCATCATTCAAAAATATTCTTTAAAAAAGCTGTAATGCAGATATGACTTCAAAGATTCACGCTATTCATTTTCTCTAGTACACTGAAAAAAAAATATTGCTGTAGGAATTATCTGAAGTGTTGTTACAGATAGATCACTGTTAGAGCAATCCTGGATATCTATAATAGCTGTCCACATCACTGAAGAGTAGCACGTGACGTCCCACATTCATAAACCTATCTCTGACCATAAAATTTGAATATTAAGGTAATACTACCGGCTTCAGAATTCACGTTCAGATTTCAATAAAACATGGCATATTGGTACATTATAACATCATAATTGATCTGAAGAAAAAATTAATATTTAAAAAATTGTACCTTCACCATTAATCCTTACGAGAAATCACAGACTTTATTTTTTTTCATAAAACTGGACGTTCAGATTTCTATGATACCCATACAGGTCTTGCCATACTTCAGAAACATGGCCAAATGCTAGCCGATCAATGGTTGCCAATAATAAAATTTTAATATCAGAATACAATGAAAGATATCACAGTTGTCAATTAAAAGTGTTATAAACAATCAACAATGATAATAACAGTGGTGTCATGACTGTACTCCAAGAATACTTCAGAATTTTCACTGTGGAATTTTTTTATTCAATTCTCTGTAGGCCATCAAAAATTTAACTGATCAATTATGATGTTGTAGTGTACCAATATGCCAAATTTCAGTGAATTCTAAAACCGGTAGTACTACCTTAACGTCATGTGATTAAAATACGATTCATTGTTGTAAAAAATATTGGCTGCTCTAATTTTATTAATCCAATTTTTCAATAATACTAAAAAGACAATATTTGATCACGGTTCATTTGTAAGACAACATTCTTTTAAGGCATTAAAAAAATTTCTGATTATTTCATGAACGAACTGCATCGACGAGACAACATCGACAATGCCATAGGTGTCTGTTTGCGGATTTACGTACGGATCTTGCGACAAAAAATTACGATAGAATCTAAATCTTACCATACAGTTCAGTAGAGGTGCAATTTAATCAGCAAATCTTACCTCCGATTTTGAGATAGGGTTTTTTTTACGTAAAATTATATGAGGATTCTGAAAAAACTATTTGCAGGGAAACAAAAATATACGCGTTATTGTGTTTTTTTTTGTTATAAATAATTTTTGCCTGCTCGAGTCCGCACATTTCAATCAATAACTTTTTAAATATTCAAAAATCGTCAATATTTTATAGGACATTTTTTATTCTCTACAGTGCAATGAAAACCTCTATCACCTCACTTTTCTTATTTCCGACCTATTTTTTGAAATATTCGATCTAAAAAATGACGGCATCATTTCTTCAGCCAGCAGTTATTATTAATCTACAAGAATGTATGAAAGAAATCAATATCTTTGATATGTCTGGTAGTTTCTTTGATGCCAGTTTCTGCATTGAATCTTTTACAAGATCAAGAATTAAATCTTGTAATAATATTTTGTCGTAAGATCCATGAGTAAATACAAGGGCAGACACTTATGGCACTGTTCCAAAGTCTGACATTCTTTACACGATCGGTACAGAAAATTTTTAACAAATGTTCAAAAGTCAACTACTACATGGAGAGAATTTTTTTACTAAACGTAAGTACAACAAGTGATAAGTTCATGTTTCGAAGTTTAGAAATAAAAATATTTCTATCCAATAGTAAGTTTTGAGTTCTTGTAAGTTTATTTGATACTTAATAGGTGTCTTAGTGAAATAATTAGAAGACGAGGCAAGAGGGCTTTTTGAATTTCAAAATGACTTAAACATATTGTAAAATAAAAGTATAAGGACAACTAATATTAAAAGATAGTTTATTAAAAGTCACAGATTCAAATATAGAATCAATGAAAAGACGTCTAATGTTAGCTACTCTCAGTCCTAAACTGGAGATAAACAAACTCTTCCCTCGTTGCTATAAACAATCTAATCGTCAAGCAATCGTCGTTAACTAACAAACTGTCGTTAGTCAATAAATCCATAGATGGAGACATTCATATATTCTACAATATAATAATGTAATTGGGGCGATAAGTATATTTTCAAATTAATGTTTACTTTCGTATTAACAGCTTCAGAGGATCTGTTTTGCCTCACTAAGTTCCCAAAATCGAAAAAGCCGTCTTGCCCGTATTCCCCACTACTTAGGAGAGCCTAAAAGTTACTTATTTCAACCCGAAATTCTCTGTTGAACAGAAATATTTTTACTTCTCAACTTCGAAACGTGGATTTGTCACTTTCTACTGACAGTTAGTGCAAAATTAATTAATTATTTCAGACGTTGCCAATCAACTATTTGAAGAGTCATTTCAGCCATTTAATAAGAAAATTAATTTATAGAGTACGATATTGTTCCTACATCTATAAATGTTTTTCAGTGTAACTTGTTAAACAATAGTTGAAGATTTTGTTGTAAAATAATCTTTTATTATTTTTTGACGATATATTATAGTTACTTATGATATTTTATGTACAATCAAACTCCTCTTATTTCTAGATCGTCAATCTTCAATAAGCAGAGTAACGATAGATTTGATTAGGTGTTATATTATTTAATAAAAAAATCAGAGAGGAAAGACTCTTGATTGATAATACCCATAACTTTGTCTTTTGAGTTTTAGAAATGACAGGAATTTGATTTAACTGAAGTAAAAAAGACATGGTTACAATTTAATCATTCTAGAGTCTATGATATCACCATTTTAAATTATATACCAATCGACTCTCATTAGAAAGTTTAGTTATGCTAGAGGGTCATGTTTTGCTTTGCCCGCATCTCATATTTCATGAAATATTTGTAATGCAACCTCTCTTATATTCCTGATTCCGAGCTTTAGGTGCTAAGAATTAGGTAAGACAATAGAGGAAAAACTAAAGATGTAAAATTATCAATATTTAAAAGATTTCGGTAAAATACCGCATTGTAATGTCGAACAGTGGTAGATGCAAAAATGACCGTCAAGCAATTGGTCACAACAATTACTGTCAATTACCGGTTATTCACATCTAGCTATATGGATGTGACGAATATTTACCTAGATAAATGCGTGCTTGCCTCATTGATTGGCTTAACATTCCCATTTTCGCTTGCTCCCTGCGCTTGGTAACTTAAAAATAATTAATTATTATTCAGTTGAGAAATAAATTCTAAATTTTATAGAAATTGCTTTCGATTGTTACGATGAAGTTATAAAATGATTTAGTTCACATTGTACAAAAAAATACTTGATAAGTAAACTGAATAGTTAGGTACACATACTGACTTGATATAAACTTAGTTTTTAATCAGATTGAAAGGAATTAATTTTATATGACGATATATTATTTAACTTTAATAAATTCATTTAAAAACATTTATCTTATAGAAAAGACATTAGAAATTGTTAATTTTGATTGAACACATAGCACATGCATATTATCCAATCAGGAATCAGTTTCAATTGTGACCATATAATAATATTCGGCTCGGTAATTGACAGATTTTTACCGGCATTTTACCGTAAAATTACTAGTAAAAATATTTATTTATACTTTTAGATACTATGTTTAATTTTGGTTTCCCATCATAATGAATAGGTAGATGGATAAATAAAGCAGTTTAATACTTAAGAAATTGAATAAAGTTTTACATAATAACAGCATAGTAAGAAAAACAGTGCATGACAAGAAAGTAAATACAAATAGAAAACAACAAGAGCATATTGAAGTCCAGGGGGAGATGATGGGAGGCAGCTAAGCTATCCACCAGTACCGGGTAGTCATTCAGATGTAGAAGCAGCAGTCAGTATTGAGAGATCAATGTCAGAGAACTTAGGAATTTCGTTGAGTCTTTCACCATGCATAACAGAGCAGAGTTAACTTACATCTTCAAGCTTGAATGGAATAGGCATATGAGAATGAGGATATCAGGCACAAAATTTGCTGAGAGTAGAGATGAAGTAGGGATAGAATTTGAAGGTTCACTGGTAAAATAGGAGTCAAACTTCCTCAAGAAGTAAGTATCACTGACACTAAACTTCTTAAGTGGAACATTGTTGGCACCAGTATCTACCAAAACATGAGGTAAGGGACCAGTTAGTGTGCCAGAATCCAGAAATCTAACAAGGCATTAAATAGTTCAAATTCATAACAGCTACATTTGTGAAAATTGGTTATTCTTAGATATATCGATTGAAAGATCAGGTGTAGTGTAGTTGTTTGTCCAAGTAGTAAGATCAGTCACTGTTATCCATAAGACTATATTCGCCTGTTCAAAACAAGAGATAGTAGCCTTGAGAGCAGCTGTCTCACTTCTGAGGATATCGATTGTTGTGAGAATATCAAGCACCACTTTGAGAAAACAGTAATACCAATTTATGCTGGTATAGACAGCACTAACTCCTGCCATGACATGTTTGAGGATAAGCTCCAAACCAGAAGACGATCTTGCAGATAGCATTTCAGATGGTAATAAAAATAACAGTTTTAAACGTTAGTGATTCACGAAAATAAAGACATCACTTAATAATATACAATACACTGTAAATAAAACAAGTCCACTGGCAGAGAACTGCAATAAAAAGTTCAAGAGTAAAAGCAGTAAAACAACAAGCACTAGCATTCACCGAGAAAGAAAGAGGCATAGTCATAGGAATGAACACAAAAACAAAGAGAGAAACGAAATTGTCACTTTGAAAAGACTACTGTCTCTACGGGACAGGAGTGGAAAATGGGAATGTAGAGAGAGATTGTACTGCATACATATTGTACGAAAATAATTAAATCAAAAGCACGTTAATTTATCAAAGATCTGAGATCTTAGAAATTTAAAAGGTCTGGTCTTGAAAGGTTTTAGTAAAAAATGGTGTAAACAAGTTGGTCAGACGCTGCTACAATCAAGTCTTCATTATTTGCCCAATACACATATTATCAACGTCAGTGCAGAAGCTTAGATCTACTTCTTTACTAAAAATCCAAACATAATAGTGTTAGACTTATTCTCTTATTTTCACTGCAAATCTCAAATTTTAGAAGTGTTTCAAAATGACGTCATCTATTTGATTAACATTCTAGTCACTTTTTAGACACTTCCAAGCATCTAAAAAGTGACTACAATGTGAGTCAAATGGGTGACGTCATTTTCCCTTGTAGCCATTAGGAAACAGACTGTTGTCAGACTTACGTATGTTGTTGTCTTTTGGTTTTCTAACGTAAGATCAACGTCAGACGTCAGATGCTACTGCAGAAATTTCTTTAAGGAAGCAGACGTACGTAAGGCTGTCGAAAATTCTGACGTCAGATTTAGGCTACCAGGGTTAAGACACTTTAAGTGTTTTAAATTGATAGACTACGATTTGCAATGTTTAAAAGATATTTTGATATCTTTCATAAAAAACAAGTTGGTGTAAAACCAAGTCTTGCACTGATGTCGACAATACACAAATATTCAACACTATGATCACTCAAAAATAATCACAAGTAACTCTTGAAACCTTAAAACATAAAGGTAAAGTTTCTGATTCCAGGTATCAAACACACCGTAGCAGCTTTTCAGTACTTAAACGTTGATCTAACAGCAAATTGATATTTTTTATCATCACAAAACTGTTATAATCTCTTATTAATTTGATATTGGATAGTTAGCTAGTGTGGACCTCTGGAGTCTTTTCTGATAATAACCTCTTACTTCGATAGAGTCTCACCTAAACCACAGCTTGTTTGTAATAGAAATTTTCCCCAAGTTAATATACCTCCAATGAGGTATTTCTTAATAAAGTTTTTAAGTAATTTGTCAAACAAGAAAAGCTCACACTTAAGCAAATGTACCTCATAACTTATATAAAACTTGAATAAAGAACTTTCAGTGAGCTTAATAAAAGGCTAGAAAAAGTTTATCCAACTTAGAAGTAATAAATTATTTTTATTTTTACTTACTTTGAAGACAGTCTGCATTCAGAAGGTCCTTACACTTTTCGTGACATTTGACTCCACATTCCATACATCTTACACCTTGCCTAGCAATTCCCCAAAGTAAGCCTTCGCATTCATAACAGTATGTTGGTGAGGTTGCAGTCCAGGTGACAAAATTGTGTGGTGTTGTTGAAGAAATAGGATAGATCATCGCCTGGAGTGTTTTCTTGTACACGTGCATCTTCTATAGAATACGAAAATGACAAAAAAAAACTTTTAACAATCGTTATTCAATACCTGAACACTAAAAGGCATTTCCAGGGATGCTGGTGATTCAAACAAGTCTGCACAAACTTTCTTTTCATGCTTTCTCAAAAATTTTTTCTCAACTTTTATCATGTCTTTTTTTTGGAGTTAATTGAATGATTTCTTTTATCAACTAAATGCAAATCGGTTTCTAAAGTGATTATTCACCAGCTTAAAATAATTTTGGCGACACTCAAGAGTTTTCCTAGATTGGTAAGTGTGGTAAGTGAAGCATATCGATTTGCTAAAAAGCTCTAGAGGGAGAATAAAAACGTTCTTCTGATCTCTTTTTCACTCTTATCTCTTAAAGGATACACTTTTCGTTAGTTCTAGTCCCTCGGGCTGCTTTCTCGACAGAATATCCGAGTGAATACACTCAAGAATCAGAGGAACGCCTTCAATGACCTCTATATAAATGTACACACTGATGTAGGAAAAAGTTTTCTGCGATAGTTCTAGAGTGTTGTCTAGAATATTTTTATGGATAATAGGATGTGAGGATAGATTTTCATTCTTACTCATTGAATACGAATCTAAAAGTTGCCTCCTACTTCGGAATCTTCATATTTACAGTTCTGTTGGCAGTAGTAGTCAGTGTCACCACCACTATAGTTTATTCAACGGTATTGCATTTAAATTAAATCAAGCTTTTTGAGAAAATACCAATTATAAATGAGTTGAATAAATGCACAGTAATTAAACATGGTCATTTGAAATTATTTTAATTAAAAGCACTTGGAATCTACAATATTTTTTTACTGATTTTTAGTCTTAATTAGGAATGAGAGAAGTAAGAGTTTTTTAATAATTTTTAAACGTGATATTTGGAAAAAAAATTTGAATAAAAACTCTCGCCATGTATTAAAAAAATTATCTATAGTCCAGTCAATATGCTTCAAAAAACAGCCTAATTTGAAAGTCCGTTGACCATTAACTGATTTGGTCCATTAGGTTGTTTTTAGTTTTTAAAATTTTTACAAGAAAAACAATGAGACCAGTTTTAACTTTCTACGACGAATGGTTTTCGAGATATTAAATTGTGTATGTCAAAAGTACTACTGTTTTTTAAACAATTGATCATAGTTTATCAACAAATGAATTTTTTGAAGTTTTTTATTTAACGGGAAGTTACATTCATGCCAAATATGTAAACCTAGTGATACCTCACATAATAGAATATGTGCAAAAATTTCAGCTCTATCTCAATAAAAAACAATGTATGATAAAAACCACACAAGATTGCAACTATTGGCAATAGAAGAGACTTGATAAATGGAATATCTTTCGCCAAAGTTGGTTTTCGTTGAAGATGAAATTTTACTTTGAAACAAAGTGTCTACACGGAGAAAAATCGTAAGGCTCGTAACCCTTTTCTTAAGAAGTAAAAATAATAATGTTGATTTTAGTTCAAATATTATGAATTTTAATCGTCTTTAAAGGATTATTGATATTATGATAAAGTTATAAAACCTTTACAAATAACAGAAAAAAATTCTGGGGTTTATCATTTTTGTGGATTAAAATGAAACTTTACAGTAAAGGAATTTTTTTTGTCTCATATTTAGTTCTGAGAATTTATTGTCGGCGTATAGATTTCTGAATATTGGAAAGTGGACATCACTCGCCGTAAGGTAAAAGCTGTGTGCCGATACATTAATTCGATCGTTGTTTTTTCTTTTGTTATTCGAATATTCTTGTTTACAAAAGAAGTGTTAGAATAACTAAACGGATTAAAGCGTAGGTTTGAGTCATATGCGTGCGAGTAGTTGTAGGTTCGAATCCCCGAGTAGAAATAATTTGTTAGGACAAAAAAATTCAATTTAAATTAAAAATGCGTCAAATGATAATGAAACAAATATAATTCTAATTAAATGAAGCCATATAAATCATTGAGAATAATTTTTGTTTTAATTGTTATAAAAAGTTTATGTAATTATAATATTATAGACAAAATGTACGATTTGTATACTGGTAGTTTCATGTATACGTATTATGTCAGAAATTTTTAATATTATTTAAATAAATGCAACATTATTATAGTGTCATTATTATATTCACGCTAATAAATGTAACAATAAAAAAATTGAGAAATATATTAATGTATAACTTCTAATTGTTATAAATTAAAATGGACTTGGCGTGTAAGGTAATTTATCCTTTACAATAAAGTTGAACTGCATAAATATTTTGACTGGAAACATAAAATAAATTTAACTGTACAGATCAACCGTCCATATTTTTACTCGCTTGTCTTATGACTACTACTAGAATTCCAGACGCTCGCCCTTTACTTTTTTCTCCGTGTATGTACGTCTGCTGTATTTTCGAAAAGGAGTTAGTCTTTTGTCAAAATTTAACATCAGTCTTACATCTGAATATTCCTAATTATACGGAACAGACCTACGTAAATACCAAACGAAGGTTTTCTGTTGATATTACGTAGATTAAGTGAGAAATGATATGGATACAAGTTCCTGAATGAAATAAGGAAGATGCAAATTGATAATGGTGAGGTCCAGTTGACCTAATTCTAGAAATAGAAAGTAAATGGCCTAAGGTTATCAAATTCTCTTAATGTTTAATAAGCTTTTGTAGATAATATTCAATTTACACAGACAGTTCCAGCACTTTCTCTAAAAATATGAGGGTGCGATGAGCTAGGGAGGAAGATATGACAAAAAAATGACGGTTTAGTTACCATTTGACCATGGAACCCTAAAAATTAAGTTATTTGATCAAAGGTAAGATTACCTTTCTGTCCAAGAATGCCTCTTTTTTAAGAAACAACCCTAGTACTTAGAAAACTGAAGGAAGGAATTTGTCTAAATGGAGTTAAATAACGACAACTGCGGCTATAAACAAAGCTTGATATTACGCTAATGAGTTGAGATAAACTGAAATTAAGTCAAGAACTTGGCTCTGATAAATCAACTGATTAAAAAGCAGCTACGTGCTTGGGCAAAGGTACTGGGTTTGAGTTTGAGTTTAAGTCTTTTTTCTGGACTATTCGAAGTTGTTTTGCAAGTTTGCAGCTCAGAAAAACAAGTATCCTATTCTAGAACCCGCTTCAAGGAGCAAGAAGTATGTGATATTGCTTACATGTAGGGCAATCGTCAGCAGAGGAATTGAAAAATATGACATGAAAGACATTTAGTATCTAGCAGGACCACACTTGAATAACTCCAATATTCCTATAATAGAAGGCAAACGGTTTCTTGAAACAGGGTCAGGAAACTTCCAAGTCAATGCATAATCATAATGATGTAGCATATTTTAAAAAAAGTTATAAGTTAATATTACTAGAAAAAAGGTTATACTACGTAGATAGCTAAATATAATTTTTATTTTTCCTAAAAAGCTTGATTTTATCCTAAGATTCATAATTAATTTGGAATTTAAGTTCAGCTTTGAGCAGGTGGTAATACTGACAGTAAATTATAAGAATGCGGCTTCGAAAAGTTTCCCATGTTTGTTGCCTATCGTAAATGGCACCAGGTGGCTCTAAATGTAACACATTCTCGTTTCATAAATACTTTACCGGTTTTAATAGGTTAATTCGAATTTGATTAAATGACCTTAAATCACTTTTACTCCAGTTAATTATTGCCTTTAAAGCTACAATTTAATTTGCATCAAGGGAATGAACTTTGGTAGTTTGAATCAATAATATGACAATTTTTTCTCCACCGCATCCCAGATTACTACTTTCTGATAACTATACATTGCAAGTTTATATGGATGGGTATATTTATATGTATATCTTAGAGATCTTCTTGCAGTATGTGCTCATCTTGTACCTATTCAGTGAACATTCATTCTCATTGAAAATTCATTTTCCTACACTCTTGTCTAGATTGGTAATTTTCTAAAATGCTACTCGCATTTGAAAGAAAAGAAATTCACAAAAATTAACTAAAAAACCGTTAACATGAAAAATAATTAATTAATTGAAAAATTTTTTTTAAATGTAAATAAATAAACGTAAAAAGTTAAATTGCCATTAATTAAATTATTTTAATTTATATCTAATGAAATATTATTAAATAATTAATTATTGATAAATTTTGAAAAAAATTAACTAATTGAAAAATAATTTCATTTAAACAAATACATAAATTTGTAATTAGGTTAATTGAAAAAAAAGAAAAATCGTTAAACTAAATAAAATTTTAAGACTCAGCGTCACTTACGTGAAAGAAAATAGCGTGGAAATGAGGATAAAATGCAGCACATTAAATATAAAAAAAAATATACAGTATTGATTGTAAAAGTTATTATATTAATTACGCTGGTCATGTGTGACACCTTTTTTCAATTTATTTTATCTTCTTTAATAAATAATTATTAAAAAATAATCCGATTTTTTCTCTAGATCTTCCTTAAGATTTTTATTGATAAAATTGAATCAGAATTATAATTAGTAAGAATATTTAATTAATTAAATTATCATTATCAGACAGTATCTTACCAATTCTTCGTCATTCAATGTTGCTCGAGGTAAAGCTGACGTCAATCCTGCCGCGTTCCTTTTCGTTGCTGCCATAGTCTGGAGAAATAAGAAATGATTAAAATCTTATAAATAATAAATGAATAAATATTTAATTGGTACATTATTGAACCATTTGATATTGTTCAAAATGATGGTACTTTTTATTTTGAATATGTGCATACGTTTATCCAGCTGGTGATGTTTTGTGAAATATTTCATTAAATTATAGTGTGTGGGTGTTGATAAAGACATTTGAATTAAAAACAATATTCACATTGATGTTAATTTATTTATGTGATATTTACAAATAATTTAGTCAATTGTGATGTAAACAGTTTCTAATGAATGAAATTGATTTATGTTGAAGATAAAAAAAGTGTTTATAGAAAATGACATTCACCAGAAGGTCTCTTTTGTTATGCATCGCCCACTGAAAAAACTAATTGAGCCGGGCTGCGTACTGTTATTTTCAAATTAATACTATCATAAATGAGGATGAATTCTGATACAGACGAAAATATTTAGATTGATTGGATTTCGATGTTCGCGGTATCATTTGGTTTGTATTTTAGTTAGGAATTGGTTTAACAACTTCAAATTACTTATATTTGCTAAGAGAGGAGAGGGGAGAATAGAGAATAACAACTACTTCCAACGCAATTTTGTTGGAAGCTATGAGATATGAAAAAAAGTAAGAACAACAATTGTTCAAAATAAAATTTTACGATGAGAAGTTTTTTTCTACGTTTTTGGTATTGTTAATGAATAATGAGTTAAGCACAGTTAGAGTTCAGGGGTGTAAGTAAATGAAAGAATAATAATTAAATTATTTTATCGAAAATGATTGAAAATAGGAAAACAAAGGATTTCTCGTTATGTTTTTTTGTGAAATAATTTTTAAATAAATTAAAGTTATTTCTCTGATATGAATGGTTTTTTTTAAGTATAGAATAAATAATATATAAGAATAAGTTTTTTCATCAAGTTTACAATTGTAACATCCTCTAATACATTAAAACAATAATGTTTTTTATAACAATGCAAACATTTTTCAGCCACGCTCAATTATTTTTGCAGTGTATTAAAAAAAGTTGCTATAAAATGAATTAATTTTCTAAAATGAATTCTAACGATTGTTAAATACATTTTTATTTATAGAAAAAGCCTTCACGTGTGGAGAAAAGAAACTTTTAGTGATATTTACAGTGGGAAGTGAAAAAAACTTTGAAGAATGAAAAAATGAAAACTTTATTTACATGAAGCTATAATTAAATTCTAATGAGACTTACCCTCTAATACATAGGGCAAGTAGATGTATTTAAAATCAATATTTATAGTGAAAATTAATTGAAGAAAGGGTGAAAAGAAAAAAGAAGTGAATAGTAGAAATTAAAATTGAATAAAACAATGAGATAGATGCTTACCAACAAGTAAATTTAATATGAGCAAAGAACTCATGTATAAATGTATATATATATATATATATATGTATGTATGTGTATATGTGTGAAAATGTAATACAATTAGTCTACGGCAACTGAGCTATGGATATGGACATTGTGACCACAATGATTTTAATTAAGATCTTGCACTTTTTCGTGCAATCCCAGAGTGTTACTCTGTTAAAAACATTATTTGGTTTTCCCTCACAAGATCATGTATTTGTCACCTTAATAATACAAGGAGTCACACTAACTTGTTATACTTTTATTAGACTCTAGGGTAAACTGAGGTGAGGTAAAATGGGATGATTAAAATTTTCTTATTTCAATAGAACATTTCATCATTCCAAACTGTACCCATTTTGACCTCAAATATTTCCATGGAAAATCAAAAGTACAACGTGAGGTAAAAATTTACGCCTACTATAGACAATGAAATTTTGAATTAGCAATTAAATTTTACTAGCTATGTGACGTGAAAAGCGTTATTAGACCTATTATGTCTAGTTCCCTTGATAATACAATATGTAGATTGTTTTTTTCTTCTCTAATTTTGAATCGTTGTATAAACTAATTAATTTTTATTTTTTTAATAAACATTCTTTTCACTACAAACTACAGGACTACTTCTATCTTAGAATTAATAAATGAAATATCACGCTGGATGCAAACTGCGTGCGATTTTAAGGATTTTTTCATTTTTCAACAAAACACAGAATGAATAAATAGCAACCAATGTTTGTTAATTAATTCAAACAGAAATCGAGTCAATGATAAAAAACATACACAAAATTGGAAAGAATGATTAAAAATTATTATTCATTAAAACATAATAGAAAAAAAAATACAAACATGACTCGTTTTCTTCTTAGAGTATTATAAAATGATTAAAAACGTGCAAATTCGAAGAAAAGCCTGAAGATTATATTTTCGTATTATTCTGTACTCATTGAACTTTTTTTTATCTTATCTTGAATTTTAATTAAAATTTTTTTCTCCTAAGAAAACCAAAAAAAAACATTACTTTTCAGTATAAAATTACCTGTTTAATAAAATTTTTTGTTTTTTTTTTCTTGGTATAAAAAAAATAAGCAAAAGCTCTAGCAAGCGGTCGAAGTAATCCTTATTACATAATTACCACACAATCTCCTGTTTGCTTTTCTTTTTCGATCTCGAGGATTCGCGCGAAAGCGTGCTTGTGCGTAGAACAAGAAAACTCAAATTAGGTTGAAGAGACTAAGTAAAAAATTATTGATAATTGTTTTTTTTTTACCGGGAAAATTACTGGTATTTAACTAGATAATAAATCACAATAGAAAACAATATATCACATATTGAGTAAATAATTAATATAAACTATTCAACTGGTAATTAGTTAAAAATATTAATTTATCTAAAAAATTACAATTATTTGAAAAAAAATTGATTATTATAATTATTAATAATAATAGATATATTTAGAGAAGATAATTAAAATATAATATTAGTATTGATAATTATAACAATGGTAATACTTATAATAAAGAGATAACAATTAGGATTATAAAAATACATTAAAAAAGATGATAGAGATAGAGAAAAACGAGTAATAAATAACATGCAACGTTCGAGCAAGCAATTTTCAATAATTAACTAAGGAGAGCCATTTTTAGTACCTTCAAGACCTGGAGGTGGAGATTTTTTTGAGAGGTTCAGTAAGTGGTTTTTTTTGTCAGGTGTTCAGGTAGATACAACAATGGGCGCCACAGAGAACAAACAAAGAATAGCATTATATGCTGGTTAGTTATATTCATTTGTTTCGCTTGCATTAATTTTTTTTTTCAAATGACATTGAATAAAATTATATTTATTCGTTAAGAAAGTATAGAAAAGTACCGGAAAAGTAAGCTTGATTATTTTTGTTCAGTCATAGTTAAATGAAGTTCAAGTTTCATCTTTTTTTTTTGTTTTTTTTGCTTCTTAATAAATAGGCTAGTTTTGAATGAGTACTTACAGCGCACTCTATCTGGCTTACTTCATTTTGTAAGATTCTATTTTTAAAGATATTTATGAACTTTTTTTTACTTCAAATTGAATGAGTTTGTTAATTAAAAAGACAGATGTAAGAGCTTATTTTTAAGATAGATAATATTATAGTAAATTAATGAGATTAATTTATTTTTATTATTTTTGAATGGAGGTTCAGATCCGAAATTGAGACTTCAAATCTAATCTTTAAATAAGTGACTCTATGATTTGCACAAGACGATTTCTGTATAAAAAAATACACTAAGTACGTTAAAGTAAACCGAAGTTAGGCAGCCTTAACCTCAGTCATAACATCGATTGGTTAAGGCTGGGTTTTACTTCGGTTTTCCTCTAGAAAATCCCAAGGAGTCGGGAAATAACTAATTTAGCAGTTAATTTGCAATTACATCCGCTGATTTTAGTATAAAAAAAAAACCTATTTTATGTAGAATGCCGCTAGTAAAAATTTTATTTAATTAATTTACATTTTAATTAAATTTAATTAGAAATAAAATTGTTATCGAATTATTACTAGATTCGTCATGCTTCATGACCATCAAGAGAGAATAATTAATTATTCTTTTTTACAAAGTTTATGCGGGAAAAAGTTATCTGCCGACATCCTTGCCACCTTCTACATTATAAATAAAATCATTTTACATAATAAAACGCAGTGATTAGGATGTATTTCGTCATATCATTTTTCAGGTGCTTTCTGCTATAGCTAATAGGGCTAAAATTTTAAGTAAAGTCCAACCTTAAGACATTTATGCAGACAAAATTTTCCTAACTTTGGTTATCCCACCTATTTGGATGAATTTTCTTTTGCTAAATTTTTGACATACGTAAAGATAATCGTCAATAATCTTTTATTTGTGTTTATTCTGGCGGATAAGTGGATTACTTCCGATTTACATTTAGCTACTTCGACGTTTAAGCTTTGTGCGTGGCTTTTAACCTAAGTTAAATTGGAACCCGGAAAGCTGAACCTAGATTAAGCTATCTCAAACTCGTATGAATTCTCCCATCAATCATATTTGTGCTTGTCTAAAGGTTGCCTTCTCTTCTTGACCGTTTCTCTAGTGACACGGAGTTTAATGCATTATAGTTATTTACACTTTCTCAAAACAAATAAGTCTCAATTCCGGATAAAAACCAAAGTAAGGACTGTAAATCCATTTACTACCAGTAGGGTTACGTATTTATCTCATTATAACACTGTACATTATAATGTTAAAAAACTAAACACTTAAAGTGTTTACAATGTAAAGTACCATAAACAAACTATAGTAGTTTTGTAGACGAATTTTAAATGCTTCTGGGCGTTTACCAAACTTCTATAGTTCGTTTATGGTATTCAATACTTTAAACACTTAAGTGTATAATTATTAAACACTTCACAAGTTTTATTACTATACTCTTGAATTTTTCCGAATAGGTAGAATATTTTATAAATCTAATGGTGTCTTTATTTTATCATTAACAAATTAATTATTAGTGTATCACGATATCTTGTCATAACAGTGTAATTTTTATTCAATCCTTCTCTCTGTACTGCAACTTGTAGTGTTTTATTTTAATGCACTTAAAGTGTTTTAGAATGCCGTCACCCATTTGATTAACATTTTAGTCATTTTTTAAACACTTTCAAGTGCACTAAAAAAGATTACATGATAATCAAATGAGTGACCTCATTTTAAAATACTTTGAATGCATTGAACTGAAATACTTCTAAATTTGAGATTTGCAGTGTGTGTATGGATAAACTTAAGCAGATTCCAAATAGGGTTTGCTAAATTGGTGTCATCATCCAGCTATGGCCCAGTCATTTCCCATCACTAGACCAATGCTGGTTATGACAACTAATGGTGACTTATTGGATAATCTTATTTGAGATCTAAGTTAATTTGAATTTTTTTCCATTAGATTCCATTAGATTTTGATGTTTTACTTCCTAATATCCGATCAAATACAACTGCATCTCGGCAGATCTAATATTTTTTCTCATGACTCAATTGAACCAAGACAGTTTTTTTTGTCAGATTCGATCTAATTCAATTTAACAGAGTAAATTTTGAAATCAAATTAAATCTAATAAATTGAGATCTCTTCTGATCCGATCAGAACCAATTATTTATAATAGGAGTCCAAAGTTCATAATTTATGGCCAGATAATTCTAGCAAAGTTTGTCGAAATTGACCGAATCAAAATAGTATGCTTCTAAAGATGATAAATAAAAAAGTTAAGGTCGCAGTGAAATTGACTTTCATTTAACATGACTGACATAAAAGCCAAAGCAACAAATAAAGCGGAATTTATGATAATTTTCGGAGTAAGTAGATATCAAGCAGAAGATCAATATTTGTGGTAACAATCATTTTTTATTCCGGTAATTTTCTGAAAATCATAGGTACTTTATTTGATCATAAAATTTTTTTATCGAACTTTAAAAAGGGTAGGAAATATGAAACACAACAATGAGATTAAATTTTTGACATTTAACATACAAGGGGGACACATAAGTACGATGTGAAATTAAAAAGATTCATAGAGAGCTTTTTTTTTTTTTTAATTCGTTGTATAGTTTAAAACAAGAAGTTATCGTATTTAAGAAATTTTGATTTTGATATTACGATATTTGTTATCGATTATTCCCGCGTGAATTTGGAACACTGAAACGCAGAACATTTATTTAAGAACCATAGTTAAATTAGCGCATACAATTACGTCTATTTTTTATAGCTCGAGTGTATCATTTACACCAAATTTTTATTGAACAACTGCAATAAAAGGATTTATTGATGATCCAATTGGACGAATGATTGAAAAAATTTTGAAAATTCATCTTAAACTATATCTCAAAAATAGTCTAGGTAAAATGTATGTTTAGCGTAAAAAATTGAATGTAAAAGCACTCGAGCTTAGCAAATGATAAAAAAACGTATAGGCATTGTTGCAGTCGAATAGGTAAAATAAAATGGTTCCTTCAACCATTGTCTTTTCTAGTGTTTTTCTCGTCATATTTTACTGTCATTTTTGCCTTTTTTACTTTGCAATTTATGTCCGAAATATCTCTTGTCTTACACTACGAAAAATGAGAAGTTAGGAAGACAAAAGGTAAAGTTACGGTAAAAGAGGTTAGACTGGGTCAGGAAAAATCCTGAAAACAAAGAAAAAGAAAGGTAAAACGAGCAAAAATAATTATTTATGTTGAGTACATTGTCCACATTGCTTTTTGAGGTTGCTTCCTTCCCACTAACACAAAGACTTTTATCATTTCTTGTTTACTTAATTAACTACAGATTTTATGCAACCATTTTATTTTCATCATAAAATTATATTTCTGCTGGTTTTATATTCAACGAAATTTAATTATCATCTGTGTCCAGAATTAAATTTAATAATTTAAGCATTGTATAATTTTATTCGTATTCATCTTGAGATGGGTGCGTAAAGTAAGATTGACCTAAATAAAAACCTCTTTCTTAAGTGTATTGCTTTTAACTAAATATCACATTAATTTTCACTCAAACCTGGGCTTTCAATTGCTGAAGGCGAAATTTGGAATAGAGACTGAATTTAGTCTGAATCACGTTACAAACAGGAAAAAGGGTCTGTGCTTAGTTTGTTTTCTAAACACGAACTTCCCATTAATTGGAATCCGTAATTTTGTCATCTGGTTTATAAAAAAAACCATTGTTATAAACAATACATAATGGTCTAGAGTCATATGAAGTTATTAATACCCGAGTAAAAATAAATAGGCCCAAAAGAAGCCCAAAACACGCCCAAAATGAAAAATAAGCCCAATACAGGCCCGATTGAAGCCCAATCTTGATTTAAAAAAATTTTCAGTGCCCAAAACAAGCCCATTACAGGCCTAAATTTTGTAGGAGCTCAATTGAAGCCCAAAACTATTTTGCAGGCCTAAAATGCGCCCAATTCAAGCCCAAAAATATTTTAAAAATCTAGAAAAGAAAAAAAAATTCTCATAAAAACTTATCATTAAATTAACTTTCGGTGCTACAAATTTACATTTGTAATAATTTATTGTCATCATTGTCGAATGTGATCTTAGAAAATGGGCTTGAATTAGGCGCGTTTTAGGCCTCGAAAATATTTTTGGGCTTGGATTAGGCGTGTTTTAGGTCTAGAAAATATTTTTGGGCTTCAGTTGAGCGTGTTTTAGGCCTGCAAAATAGTTTTAGGCTTGATTTGGGTGCGTTGTGGGCCTGGAAAAGAATTGTGGACTTAAATTGGGCGCGTTGAGAGCCTGAAAAATAATTTGGGCTTGAATTGGGTCTCCTTTAGGCGTGCCCAAAAACTGATCATTTTTACTCGGGTAAGCATATTATGTTGACCTCAGTTGTCAATAATGTCAATCATCTAATAAGTAGTATCTATTTCAAATGTCTTCTTTACTCAACTCAATTTGCACTCTTTTTGTTATTAAAACAAACGGCTGGACCGAATTTGTTCAAACTCCTTTCACGTCTTCTTCACTGTATTATCTTTAAAATGAAAGTTTCTCGAAGTCGATATCTTCAGTGGTTTTCGAGATATCGAAAACAAAAAAAAACGTAACATACACGCACGCATGTACGCACGGACGTACATATATCTATGTTTAAACCTTCTAATATGGTTTTAAATTTCTCAAAATGTATGGATATGATAAAATGACGAATTCCAAAAATTGACCCAATCACAATAACTTTTGGGAAGTTACAAAAATACCAAATTGCTCAATAGAGAATACGAAGGACAAAAAGAATTTCAAAGTTTCTAAGAAGAGGTATTAATTAAAAACAGGTATAAATGCTGAAAAATCCGAGGAAAAATTTTCAGTAAGTATTCTTGAAGAGTGATAAAATGCTAATGACAAATGAGCTGCCTCATTAAGGACTAACAACTATTTGTATTCATGACTGGTAGCCTAATAGAGACTTTACTCCCTTCAAATAATTATTTAACTATTTTCCGAATCACAGCTGCAATTTTAATGGAATAATTAGTATTTATACCTGAATAGAGATAGTTTTCTGCCTGACTGGACCCAGACTACAACTTCAACATTTTATGGCATGGCGAAATATCAGGGAAAGTACTCATTGACTAATAGATATGATTATAGTCAAACCCGGGTATTTTCCTGAGGGAGATTCCATTCGCAATCACGGAGTTTTATTGCATTTCGTCAACAATTCCATAATACCTGCAGCATTTGGGTCCAAAGTAGGCGTCCGTCTTCTATGTTTGCCCAATTCATGTTTATTATGGGCTAATTAAATTTTTCCTTGGGTAAACTATTCCCTATACCTCCTATTGATGTTATTATAGTGCCAAGAATACTATTTTACTAATTCGAAATAGGTAGTTGAAGCAAATGCTTTTTGGCAATCATCAACCCAAATATTTTTCAAAGTATGGGTTAATCATAAACCATTTTTTATTTGTGAAACTTTGAATGAGTACGAAAATAAAATACAGTGCTTAAATTATTGTTAATAGTACTGAATTAATTTTTGAATATAATTATTGTAGTGGACTGCAACAATAGCCTAACAATGATGATGCTCCAACGACCAGAGATAATGTTTGACTTTAGAGAAGTTAATCAATCTGATCAATATATATATACTGCACACATACAGTACAGAAAATAGAATGAATAAAGACAATAATGGATAATCAACTACATACCAACTCCGAGACCAATGGTATCGATTTCCGACGTGGTCGAATGTCCGGCATACTGTCGATGTTGCTATAAAATGGATTGTCACCTGGATGTCTGTAATCAAAGCATTTAAACAGTTTGAATAAGCAACATTTAAGTATTTGAGTTAGAAATAATTAATAAATTTTCTTTAAAATAGTATATTTCAAACTCAGTCATTTTTAAACAACTGACCCAAAATTTAGTTTTCGGGCGTCGATTGTCTTACCGAATAAGCATAAATTCATCGAATTGGGCATTCTAGAAAAAATCATAAGATGGACATTAAGTAACGTAAAGAATAATATTCTAAGTATCAGATGTTTACTCTCTTGAACTGAATCAGTGAATATTAACTGAATGCCAGTGCCAATTCAATGACTGATTCATTCAGTGATAGGATTAGAACTGGGTATTAGTGAATATTCATTTATTTGCAGTAGTTTTCACTGATTCAGTTTAAGAAAGTATTTGTAAAAATATCAAAAGCAATGAACATGGATGCGAAGATTTTTCAGGTTTTTCCATCTGGATGTTTAACAACTGATTGCAAGTTGATTTTTCCAACCAAAAGAACTACGATATAATCTCTTTTAAGCAAAAACCTCGTTATAGCAAGGAAATTAACCTTTCTATTGCAAGATTTTAACATGGTAACTCTAGAAACAACAATGGTGAGGAAACATTGCTGCACCAAGGTTCTTTATCCGAAAAGAATAGTCATACAGAGGGGTTATTGGGATTCAACATATACGCCATTTGGATGAACTAAGAGTAAAGTTGATTTTTTTATATATACAGTAATTCACAACTGTTAGAATATATAAGTATATGAATGAGTGCGTGCGTGAGGCAATACAGTATATGAATAAGAGTGGCAACATCAGCGCAGCGTTCCGTCAGTTGAGTAATGGCTACCGTAAGTGTCAGTTGCTAATACATGTATAGTAAGTTTCATGTACACACATGTAATTCTCAGAAGTTAATAAAGTTAACTAATTTGTTCTTGATTAATAATAATAAAGATTGTTAATCAATAAAACCTTTTAACGACCAACATCTACAGTAGGATCTCTTTGAATGCAAGGCCCTTAAATGCACGAACTCTCTATTAACATTAAAGTCATCTCTCTAAACGCAACTTCTCTAACTGCTACTCTTATTATTGAACTGACCAATGAGAATCAATTTATATTATGTTTAGATTATGTTTGCACGTGGAGATAAAAAGCAACAGAGGAGAAGTTGCATTTAGAGAATTCCGCCGGTCCCAAATGCATTTAGAGAAATCCTATTGTATCAACAACTGTACAAAATTAACTTTAGTTTCCGTCATTTTTTCTAAGCTCCATCTATTTGTTAGATTCCAAAGTTCTCTTGATCTTAAAGTATTTTCATCCTCTAAAATTCTTAGCTTTGGGGTCCTTTAGTTTTTCCATTGCATCAAAGACAACAATTTCAGTCCTTATACCAATTTAGAATATACTTTGTTCTTTATTCAGCCTATCCAACACACTTGATACTACAAAACCAATAATAGATTCTAGCGTATATTGATACACTGATAGAAGAGATTTGTAATAATAAAGGAGGCTTCTTAACTGTTAAAATATTTTGTAACAATTATAATATTACATCTTAACTATTAAACATAGCTTTGTTACAATACAAAATATATTTTTAACAGTTATTAAATCTTCTTAACTATTAAGGAATACGAAGTAACCAATATAATTCATATTTTATTGTGGATTACTAGGTTTATTTAATATAAAATGATATAACATTCGAATGAGGCGAGGATTTGGTTTTATTTGATGTATAATTCAATCAATAGAAAATATGCATAAGGCAAAAAGTGAGGTTATAAAGAGTGAATTGATATGGTTGGACCAGAGAAAGAGTCGTTTTTTCGGCCAAAATACCCCAACCATGACCAAAATAATGAGCGCATGCGCCTAGCTATATTGTGCCCTATTTTTATTACTACGCCGCGTGGTAAATATAAAAAATCAAAAATTTATTTATTAATTCGCTTTTTTATAATTAATTAATATTTATATCGTATCGTGTACACATTTTATCAATAATTCATAACAATAAAAATAATATTTCTTAGTAATAAAAAATGTTAAGGAAATTTAAACTAAAGGAACTATTTTTTTTTTTGGCGGAATCGACTTTTTCGGAATCAACCGAAAACGACTTTTTCTCCGGTCTAACCATAAATATGACAGTTCTGGTTGATGTAAGGTTAGGTGGCGTTACGAACGCTGGTTTATTAATTGTTAAAAAATATTTTTATACGATAAAATGAGATTTACTCATTATAAAACCGCTAATGTATTCATAACTAAGACTTTTTTATTGTTATAAAATATTTATAAATAGTTCAAAAACATCGATTTTAATAATTAAAAAATCTTTTGTTAACAGTAATAAGTCTCTTCTATCGGTGTATAATTCTTTTAATAAATGTGGTTTTAATAATCTAGAATTACGGAACAGAGATTATATAAATCACAAAAGACAAATAAATGCACTAGAAGTATTTGTGTGGAGTGAGGATGAGGATAAAATTTTCCTTGACGGTAACTTGCGTGCAAATTGAGATATCGACTTTATTTTAGCAGTAATCGACATTTGTCAATGTCAGAATAATACCATTGAAGTTTTATCAAAATCAGTTGGCCTGTTTTTGTTGCTTTGATAGAACTAAAAAAAATTGATTTTTTGTTAAATTTCGCAAATGTCATAATCACGATTGTTGTTATTTGCAAAAATATCTACGAAGTTTTTAGTTTGTCTTTTTGCTAGCATTTTAATTGTATTCCTCTAATTTGAATTTTTAATCAAAATCTGAATTCAAAATTCTAAATATAATTTTGTTATTCAATTAAAAAACATGCGGTGAATAAATATTTCGTAAAAATTACTTTATTAGTACATAATTTAACGTAAAAAAATTTTACTCATTTCATTGCAAAATATTCAAAATTATTCGGTTAAATGCAATGAAAGTTATCGTGTAACTGCACTTGCATAGTGGAATGTAACTGACTGAAAAAACGGGTAATGATACTGCGACATGACGACAATTATTTATTCGCAGATTTTGACATCTAATAAATTAAACAATTAATCATTTTTGAATTGTTTCCCACTAGGTCTTTTGCTCATGGACCTCTGCTTAATCTAGGTTACGCGATGAATAGGCAAAAGGAAAAAAAAAGAATAAATGGGAAATTAATTCAACTTCCAAGCTGAATTGAAAACTCGTTCAGTGAAAGATCAGCTGGCGTAAAACAGTGTTTATTTGTTTTTCCATCAATCTTTGCGAAATAAAGTTGTACTTTACATTTTTTTGTTTTCGCTTAATACTTTTTTTTCGATTTACTCTTCAACATTGTGAGTCAAAAATTTGCGTGTATTGGAAATTTTTATAATCGAGTCTGAATATGTTTAAAAGAGAGGAAATAAATAAATTTTGATCAAGTTAAAAATGAAAGAAGAGAACGAACGTTGATAACTTTTCTTGCATTCAAAAATATACAGATTTATAATTTATGCTCCAAATTCCAGTGATGAATTGTAAAAAGACCAGATGTAAACAATTTTTGGAATAACTTTAACTTTGAAGATTAATAACTTTTCGAAAGCTAAACGGATGTGTTATCCTCTTATTCGGCTTGTAGCTAGAGATGTATTTTAATTATTTCCTAAACAAAGAAAATCCGCGAACTTTTAGATTTCGGTAAGAAATCGAAGAAACCCCGGAGAAAAACCATTTTTGTACTGATCTTAAATTTAAAATTCAACAACTTTAGGGGAAGGTGGGGTAAACACGGATGCTGGGTGATCGCGGACATGTTTAGCTATGTTAGAAGAGGTGGAAACATATTTCCAATAATGCAATCAAAAGTCGATCCCGAATGCAAAGCCTGACAAACAGTAGCAACGTGACGACGCGCTCGATGTACAAAATATGTTGACTTCATTATTTTTTAACAATTTTACGTAATTTTAGAGTAAAATGAAATATGTGTCTAACATTGTGAGGGAAAGCGTTAAGATCCTGTCAATGATGATTGAATAAAATGTAACAAATGTAATCTATGAGACCCACGAAAACTTTTCGATTAGTGAAAGTTCATCAAAAAGAATTATCTGTGATTTAAATAATGATAGAATTCACACTATCCGTAATTACGCCACGTGCTGTGGGGTAATTCCGGACACCAAGGTTTCGTTTATTTATAACCATTTGATTCTTGATTGAAAATACATCCACATTGACTGTGAGATCTTAAACTTTATTAATTCAAATAAACTTTCAATAATAAATAACATCTATAACTTCAACTACTTTTGTGTTATTTCACTTCTCTCTTAGGTGTTTGCAATTACCCCACTCTCCCCGATGAAAACTAAATGGATTTGCAATTTTTTCATCCTGGCCTGTAGCTAAAGATGACTTTTCAATAATCTGTTTATTTAAAAAGCTTAATCATTTCTAAATTTACTGTAAAAAAATAATAAGAGTAGGAAGGATAAAGTGAAACACTCGAGAAAATTTACTAATTTATCAAAATAAGTTTAAACATTCCTTTTGCACTTCTTGTTTATCAATTTTTCAATTTATTCATGTATTAAAAATCATGAATATTTGTTTATATAATGCTTAATTTGTTGATTTACGTTTTCCCTTAGTATTCCACTTCACCTCACCTCCCCCGACACTATCGACCTTATTTTTTGCAATTCACTCACTTTTTCTTACACCCCTAAATTAATAATCGCATTAACATAGAGACTTGAAAATCTATAGAATTCTCTTCTAATCTGCTGTACGTGTAAAACTTCCTTGAACTCTGCCAGAAAGGTTTCATCTTAAATAAATTCCAAGACATAAATGTTTAAAAGCTAAATATTCATCTATAATAAGTACTTTACAGCATTCAGATTCAAAAATGAATTAATTTGTACTATCCTATCTTTCTGAGACCTTTAAGTAGATGAGATCATAATGAAATACATATATTATTTTAAACTCAGAATTGTTTGTAAAATTAAATCCTATTTTGAAATGAAGATTAATTCCTTTGCAAGTTTATGTTTCATTCCAAGCTTAAAACTATTTCAATTGTAATGTAAATTGATTAATTTTCGTGGCAATGCATCAAATTAAAGTTTGAACACATTTTATCGTTGTTAAATTGGAATATTATTCAAATAAAAAGCAAACCTTTAATTCCTCATTAAAACTTGTTGAAAACATATTGGAAATTTTACGTTAAATATTCTTGTAAATTTCTTTATGTAAATTATCAGTTGCTAAAGTCATTTTATTTGCGTTTTCATCAAGATGTATTCAAACGTTTTGTATGCACTGCAAGTTTCAAAGTTACACATAAGCTGTTATTATAGAATCTACGATATTAAATATATCATTTAAAGTTACGTTACGTTTAAACTTGACTGAGTTGAAACAGAATAAAGTTAAATAAAAAAAAATAATGGCCAATTTAACTTACCCATTAGCTCGCCCTCCAGACTCGCCACCTGGTCCACTTCCATTCTAACAAATAAAAAACAATTTATTAGAAAATAACTAAGTAACAATTCGAAATGAAACGAAAAATGTACGCTTCAATTTAAAAAACAATTGTTGCTTATAATATACACAATATTCAGTAGTTACAGTTTTATTTTATCGGTAAGTTATCCACCAAGTCATTTTTTTTTACAGATTCAAACAAATTTGTTTGCTGAATGAGTTTTAATTTTATGTTATAGTATTTTAATTATTATTCATTGCAAATCCAAGTCAGTTTAATCAATTAATAATTCAAGTATTTCAAAGTAAAATACTTAAGGAATTTTTCGATTTGTATCAACATAAACAAACAGTAGCATTTTGACAAACACCTGCTATAGTTTGTTTAGAGGAGCTAACATTGGAAACCGTTTTAAATGTTTTATCGTGAAATAATTCATTAAACACTTAGATTGCAGTAATCCTTTATATGATTATTTATTAAATCACTGAGTGGACGTTTATCAATGTTTTGCTTCTTAACAATACAAATCTTTTGCTATTTACTCTAATGATTACATTGCGAGAAATTCTTTTGTATTTTTTTATTTTGTACCTACAAAAAAATGAGATGAACGAAATGATGCATTTTGAGGTTATGAGCAACTCTTCGTGATTTAGATCATCTATTTTTTTTCATATATTGTAGCACACATTTATTCTCTTTTCTGAACATTTTTCCTTCTTTATTTACCTCTTTTACTCTTTTATCGCAATACCATTTTCACCAACTCAATCTAACCTCTTTTTTGATGCCTTTTTTCTATTCATTTTATATTACTTTTTGTATATAGAATTTTCACCAACCTCCTTACACTTATTTTCAACAAATCCTGGTCTTTTCTCACGTATATTATTCACCTCAATATCAAGCTTGAAAATATTAACTGATCTATTTTATGAATTTTTTTTTCGCATTAACAGCATGACAGAAAGACTTTGCTTTTGATTTATAAAAAAATTTTTATTTCTTTATTAATATTAAAAATTTATAAACGACACGTCCAAAAATTACTTAACTTAAATCTTATTTCGACAATTACGTCATCAAAATGATCTAGAAAATAGCTTTATACCCATTTTTTTAAATGGAAAACTTAGGTCATCTATTGGCATTACTGGAAAATAACTTTATTTAATGGAAGGGCTTTTCATTAGATTATGTTTGCGTTATATTATCATAGCTATGAAGTATTTATGATCCCTTTTTTAAGTCTACGGTTATGAGAACTGGACGCCATCTATTGGTCAAAAAGCTCTAGTAAATTAACTGCGTTTCTAAGCATTGAAAATTTAATTGTACAGCTTTTTCAACTCTTGATCGAAGAGAATTTTAAATCTAAAAATTACCCAATTATTGATATATAATGTACAGTAAAATAATTTTTAAGAAGACTGTTAGTATGGAAGAGGTAAAATTCTTGTATAGTGAGGCTTGAACATATTGAAGGGTAACCTATCGGATATTGAAAGAAAGCACAGTATTGAAGTTATTATTTCTTTAGTTTCAAAAATCCGTTCAAGGTAAGATGACTTCATTTATCAGACAATGTTTATCATTATGGTGTAAGCGAGATTTGTCAATTGGAATAGCATATAATCTAAGAAAAGTTGTCGCAAGGACAATCTTATTGGGGATTAATTGATTAGTGTCAGTATAAACGTGAGTTTACTCTCACTAACCTTTGCAGTTATTTTATTGTGATATTCGCCATTTCAAGAATAAAATTTAAGATACAAGTGCGAAGACCGTACTATTCCTCCTTCATCTGTAGACCTTCGTAAGTCCTACAAAATAAAAGCAGCACCAAATGTGCATTCAATGAATATTTAAACCGACAAAACAATTTTTTTCCTTCATCATAAAGATTTCCTATCATAAAATAAAATATTGTAGATTTAACCATCCTTGATTGTTTTGAAATTTGTAATTACAGTGGAGTTTCAGCAATTTCAACTTTCTCTACATGGGAGAAACGAAGCACACTCCTTCTTTCGAAATTTTCCTTCTTTATGGAACTTTTTCATTGCCAAACAAGTGATAGATAGTATGATAGTAGGAGAGGAGGGAGGGGGGCTTAATTTCTCTTTTATGTAGTCTAGCTCAAACCACGTGTGAAATTACAACCCAAAGGCAAAGGTAGTAAACACATAGTTTAAACTAGTGTAATTGTCTTCCTTAGATCTGAATATGATTTTTCGTCATATCTGCGTGGAAAATTCAACCCCCCCCCTTTCTTCAATGAAAAGTGAACTTTCCGTGCGGGTATGACGTAAAATTAGTTTATAGCAGCAGAAATTAATTGAAGCCTACCGTGTTTTCTTTCTAACACTGCAAATCCTAAGAATTTATAAACGTGTTAAAATAACACATATAAAACGTGTTCAATGTGAAATATCCATAAACAAACTATACATAATTTGTGAACATTTTTTACACGTTTCATAGTGTGTGAAAATCTATAGTTTGTTTATGACATTTAATATTGAAGAGGCTTAACGTGTCAAAAGTTTCGACAAGAATAACACACTTGGATTTGCAGTGAACACTTCATATTGTGTCGTGTATTCCAGTGTTTTATACGAGGTAAAAACAACTTGATTTTTCAAAAGAAGTAGATTTGTGAGTTTGAAATTATTGTAACTCTACTGTATTTATTGATTCAATTAAGGAGAGTACACGATGTCATTTTATTGCATGGCTTTCAATCGAATAATTATAAAAAGTCATTTCAAATCAAAAAGCATTATTGATTAGTTTTTTGTGTTATCGTAATAACATAAAGATTTTTTTTTCTCCAAATAATTGGGTAATTTTTATGTAAAATTCGTATCCGTGTTATCGGGCTTTATAATGTGACAAAACTAATATTTTTATGGTGATTAGTATCGATTCCATTAGTCTGTTAACTTTGTTAATAATTAAATTATCTAAATTGGGTATAAAATGGTATTAAAAATGGGTGTTAAAAGAAAAAGCTTAATAAATAATCAATATCTCTCTCACAATACTGTCTGGCTTCATAAACTCACTTTAAGAGCGATCAGAAATTTTTAATAAAAAATTTTAATAACAATTTTACCATTTTATTATTATTTTATTCATAAATTTAATATTAATAAATAAGTTATTCATTATTATTATCACGTACACCTTTCGTTACTTCGTATTTACTTCGTTAGAGTTATGATATTAAACTTATGGACAGCGTATAACAAGTGTAAATAAATATTTAAATATAAAGATAGCCGCGTGTCAAAAAACATTCTTTAAACTATATATTTATTGTATATAATATAATATAATTTATCACGTGAAAATGTTACATCTTTATTTATTTTTCTTTTTTTGTCTTTTCATGTGTAGCTTTTATATATGTTTGTCTCTTTTAAAAAGCAAAAGAAAAACAATATTAAAAACAATGGAAAAGTTATAAAAAAAAATATTTTATTTTATCTGTGCCCTAGAGACAATCGAAAAACGAGAAAGAAACTGCCTAGTGAACAACAACATACCCTAGGGTATTTTAGCTCAACGACATGAGAAAAAAAGATGAAAAAAAAAAATTAATCAAATAAAAAATATTTAGCGAAATTTCATTAACTGATTTTTAGCCTCAAGAGAACTAACAGTCACTTCTAGAACATAAGTTCGTTGTTTTATAGCCAAATAATATTTTATTTGTTTACATTGGTATGAAAGTTGTAAAATGTTGGCTAAAGTTAATTAAATCAACAAATTGTAACGTCCCAGAGTATTAGTATTAATTTGATCTTCTCTTCAATATTTTATCGTTTTCATTCTCTTGAATCTCTTTCGACTTTTATAAAATTTGTTAACGATGATGCTAGCTGTGATTCAGATAATTTTAAAATATCTTAGAGTAGACATTATTCCAAGTATTTTCATACATTTAAATATAAGCATCAAGTTGAATCGAATTCTCCAAAAATTCAACGTCTATCTGTTTAGGACCAGTCATCAGCAAAAGTATTTTTAAATAAAATTGTAGATTACTCGTAAAATTTAAGTCAAGGATTGACAAATATCGATTGAAAAGTAACATAAAATCAGAAGTTTCATAATGGAAAATAATGAAAAGCTTTCATTTTTCATCATTTGTCAAGTTGTAATTTTAATTACCGATTTTTCATTATTTTCCAATATAAAACTTCCGATTTTAGAAATATCGTAATTCTTCACTCGACATAGTTTAATTATCAATTGAGTGGAAATTCAAAATGGAAAATTTCCATTTTCTATGAGTCAATTTGTTCTACTAGGATTATCATAAAATAATAAAGTGGCGTCTGTCTCCTCATTATGGTGAGTTTGAAGGTTTTTATACTGCATACATCTTCAAATTAACAGAAACTGTACAAGTCAATCGTAACACCTCTATTCCAAGATGTGTATAACATTTATGAATTTTTAAATGGTTGCCTGAATTTGAAATCTTTTATTGAGTAAATGATTCTGCATCGATGAAGATAAAGAAATAGATACCTTTCCGATAATTTAAGCGAAATAATTCGTTTTAAGGTCTTCATACATTCAAAGTCATTTCCACCGGAAGTGGAATAATTTTTATAAGAATCAAATAATTTACGTTTTTCTACAAAACTTATTGTTAATAAGTTTAGACGATTTGCGATTTTTCAAACCCAAAAATAAGTGGAATTCCGGGCAATTGCAAAGAAATATTTCGGTTTAAAGCCAATCAAATTAATCACTGCCAGTGCAGATATTAGGCCACCATTTTTAATGAAAAAATCTGACAATGCAGTTTGCTGGTATGTCGATAATGAAGAGGTCTTTACTATCCAAGTTATACTAATGACATAAAAAAAAATTGAAAATAAAACACGTAATAATTGCATAGCAACATATTTGTTATTTTGTAAAAACAAGTGAATTCTCCAGATTAATTAATTCAAATTTTGAACTGCAATGTTACCAGATTTTCTTTTGACTACCAAAG